AGGTAACAAGCTGAGATTAGGAGCACTCCCTTTAAGAGTGTGCTCCTAATCTCAGCTCGTTACCTGTATAAAAGACACCTGGGAGCCAGAAATCTTCCTGATTGAGAGGGGGTCAAATACTTATTTCCCTCATTAAAATGCAAATCAATTTATAACATTTTTGACATGCGTTTTTTCTGGATTTTTTGTTGTTATTCTGTCTCTCACTGTTCAAATAAACCTACCATTAAAATTATAGACTGATCATTTCTTTGTCAGTGGGCAAACGTACAAAATCAGCAGGGGATCAAATACTTTTTTCCTTCACTGTAAGGCGCATTTATGAGCTATAAAGAAGGGCCTTTTCTCGAAACGTCGCCTCATACATCATGCTCATTTGGTAGGGCCACAGCCTGTTTGACCAATGTGTGGAGAGATTTGGGTGTCATGCATGGCACTGATACGCGGCTATTCGAGCTCCGATGGCTGGGGGAGATCATTTGGGTTGCATAGGAATCTCAACGAACTAGAAGGGCACCCCCAGTGGCAGCTGTACCTGTGGGGTACATGGTGACTCAGCACTGTCCCTGCATGATGCGGGCATCGGTCTACTGCCAGTAGGGCGGGGGGGGCGATGCTTGCTGCTGTGTGGTCTAGCTTAGGGGGTACCCCCAGTGGCAGCTGTCCCTGTGCGTATTTGGTAACTCAGCACTCGGCCGTGCAAGCGGGCATCTCTAAGGGGGGAGGGGGCGATGCTTGCTGCTGTGTGGTCTAGCTTAGGGGGCACCCCCAGCGGCAGCTGCCCCTGTGCGACACATGGCGAGTCACAGCACCCGGCCCCCTGCATGATGGAGGCATCGGTCTACTGCCAGTAAGGGGGTGGGTGATGATTGTACGCCTGTCAACCGCTTAGGGGCCGTCCATAAATGACGTCATGCACCTGGGGGGGGGGTCAGACATTTGTGACGATGTGTGACGAAGGGGGGGGGGTTAAGAAATGTGACGTCACATCAAAATGCGCAACTTTAAATATAGACAAGACGTTCTACTTAATTAAATAAACTTTTTAAGAATTGTTTTCTCCTACAACATCAGAGTCCAGCGCCACATTAAATATGCACTACAATGACAATAGTTTAAAGCGATTTGAAGCATGTTTTATTTTTTGGGGGGGGGAGGGGGCAGAGCTTTGTGACGTCATATTTTAGGAGGGGGGTCTGACTTTTTGTGACGCCGTGTGACGAGGGGGGGGGGGTCAAAAATCGTTCAAAATCGCGTGACGTCATTTATGGACGGCCCCTGATCAGTGCCCGACCTTATCAGACCAAGTCAGACCTTATTGGTCACCCCGTGCCTCTAATAAATCTCGACGTTCATCCCACAAAGTCTCATCACAAGGGAGAAACACAAAGAGACTTCATTTTATTTCAATGCCCGTATTGAAACGGCTGTACGCCGTGTGGACCTGAAAACTCAATTTCCCTGTACACGAATGCGGGGCAAACCGTCTGGGATGACGGCTCCGCTATCCGGGATATGTCTACTGTATGTATATTTATATTCCCTGCCACTCCGGCAATATTTAAATTATTCTTGGTTCTTTCGGTAAAGTCTTTCGGTACAGTCTTTACCCAAAGAACCAAAAATATGAATCCCTGCAGTCACGAAAGCTTTAAGTCGAAATATTTAAACTTTTAACGGCATTCGCTTTAGGAGCCCGTCCATAAATGACGTCACGCGATTTTGGACGATTTTTGTCCCCCCCCCCCTCGTCACACGGGGTCACAAAAAGTCAGACCCCCCCTTCAAATATGACGTCACAAAGCTCTGCCCTCCCCCCCCCCCCAAATATAAAACATGCTTCAAATCGCTTTAAACTATTGTCATTGTAGTGCGTATTTAATGTGGCGCTGCACTCTGATGTTGTAGGAGAAAACATTTATTAAAAAAGTCTATTTAATTAAGTAGAACGTGTTGTCTATATTTATTTAAAGTTGCGCATTTTGATGTGACGTCACATTGCTCAACCCCCCCCCCCCCATCGTCACAAATGTCTGACCCCCCCCCCCTCCAGGTGCGTGACGTCATTTATGGACGGCCCCTTAAAGAATAAACATTTTAATTAAAATCTGCCGGGGAGCGATCCGCCATCTTGGTCAGGGGCCACGCCCTCTGGTTCGTGACGTCATCATCAGGTGGTGATGTCAAACCAAATCTCACCCCCCCTAAACAAAGATCCCCCGTGTAGCCTCCACAGGCTGATGGGGCCAAGTGCTCGTGAGTAGCGCAGCACCTAAAGAAGGCCGGGGCAACTTGTGGCGCGCGACGAGCGGGGTGGGTGGGTGTGGGTGTGCCCAACACCACGCTCCGGGCCGCCTTTGTCTCCCCAGCGGACGGGCGTTTACCCACGCGCCGTGCCGCGCGCTCACTCGAGGCGCGTCCGTGACCGGCGACCGGCGGCCGTCACCGATTTGTCGGTGGCCGCGAGCGGGAGTCGAAGCCAGCTCGCCCCTTGCGTCCACCGCTCCGCAAATCGACCACGTGCGAGAAATAATCCCCCTCCCTTACCAAGATGGCCGCCGAGGTGGGCGGGGACGACTTGGGGGTGACGTCACGCGCGTTTTTTTTACATTTGTGTGAAAACAAAACAAATGACGTAAACCCGCTGTAGGCCTCCTTTTCACGTTGCCCTCCACCGGTCATTAATAAAAAAAACAACCCCCCCCTCAAAAAATCTGTGAAATATTTATTTACACTGCGCTGACTAACACATCGTGCGCTGACTCGCACATCATACACTCATATTCTTGGTTCTTTCGGTAAAGTCACGTAGAAGGGAAACAATAAAATAATAAAAATATAAAACAATAAAATTATCACGACGTTTCGACTGCAACGCAAGCAATCATCATCAGGTGTGAAAACCACAGCAAGAAAATTTGAAAAAAGTGGCGGGTGTTTTTTTAACGCTAGCGCCACGGAGAGCGATTTGGCAGTTATTCAGATGGACGAGTCCACTATGGTCGGAAAAGAGGAGGGGGGAGACGAAAATAATGGATGCGATCTGAAAGCCACCGTAAGCGTGAACAATCAATTAAGACCCGAAATGGTTTATCAAATCCTTCCAATGATTGCTAAGCCAGAATCCATCTTCTCGGTTGAAATTGTCTCTTTTCCGAACATAGATGGACTCGTCCATCTGAACAACTGCCAAATCGCTCTCCGTGGTGCTAACGTTAAAAAAACGCCACTTTTTTAAAAAAAATTCTTGCTGTGGTTTTCACACCTGACGATGATTGCTTGTGTTGCAGTCGAAACGTCGTGAGAATTTTATTGTTTTATATTTTTATCATGTTATTGTTTCCCTTCTACGTGGTGACTTTACCGAAAGAACCAAGAATATGAATACCTTCAGTCACAAAAGCTTTAAATGAAATCATACACTCACTCACGCTGCTGCTGACTCACTCACACATCATACACTGGGATTGTCCTGCTACAAGCTATGGCTGCAGGTTTTGTCGTACGTGTCATGTATATAGTTTATTGTTAAATTTTAAAATCACAGTTCCTATGATTACTGTTGTTGCATTGTTTTTATAGCTTTATTTTGGTGATTCGAAAACATATGGTAAATCTAAATTGTCTTATGGTTGTTGTTGTTGGCTTGCACCACATTGCCACTTTTGCACACAGCGTTTTAATGAGTGTTTTTTCGTGCGTGCAATATTATTTTGCTGGTTTATTCCAGAATGTTTCTGTTGTGCGTCGTCGCTTTAAGATGTTCTGTGTTCAAATTATGTTTGTTGTGGTTGCACCTGACTTAAGAGCCGCATGGCTCACAGGGCTATACACCTAATAAATGAAACTTGAAACTTGAGGAATCCGATGAGCTACAAAGCGCTCTCTCTCTTTTTGTTTAGTTTTTTTGCACACAGCGTTGGTGTACGGTGCTTTTTTCAGGAATATTTTTGCTGTGGTTTTTTTTCATGGATTTTCTGTTTGCACAATGATGCCCCTAGGGTCTGGAATGCTATTGCCAATAAACTGCCACTTGAATCACTACCTATGAGATCTTCACTCAAAACTGCTCTAGAGGAGTTGTACAACCATAGCTGCCACTGCTATTCAGTGGCCTAAAATATGGCTCTAGATTTTGGTGTTATAATTTATTTATGTAGTTTATTGTAAAAAATTCGGTCACAGTCCCTATGATCACTGTTACATTGCATTTATGGCTTTTATTTTGGTGATTTCGAAAAGTTTTTTTTTGTTTTGGCCATGTTTTTGTTTATTGTAGTACGGAGTTAGACTGATGGCTTTAATCTTAGTTGTCTTGTGGTTGTTGTTGTTTGACTTGCATCCCACTGGGATTTTTGCACACAGCGTTGGTGTACGGTGCTATTTCAGGAATATTTTGATATTTTTTTCCTGGATTTTCTGTTTGCACAGTCACATAGTCACTTTAAGATGTTTTCTTGTTCATGTTTTTTTGTTTGTTACGTTTGCACCCGATTCAAGAGCCGAATGGCTCACAGGGCTATACCAAAATAAATGAACTATGAACTTGTCACTTTAAGATGTCTTTCTTTGCTAAAGTTGAGGGCGCTTTGTTTCTTCTCACACAGCTTAAAGGTCGCGATCTGAGCGTGGCTTTCTCTCTCACTCCAGCGCTGTCCTCCAGACAGTCTCGTCCCCTTCACCTGATGAAGGCCGCTTGTGTTGTGAGCCGAAACGTCGTGAGAATATTATTGTGTTATTATATTTTATCAATTTATTATTTTAATCTTATTCTACGTGGCGACTTTACCGAAAGAACCAAAGAAGATGTCTTTCTTGTTCGTGTTTTTGTTTGTTGTTGTTGTTGTGGTTGGCTCACAGGGCTACACTAAAATAAATAAAACTTAAAACTGAAAATAACTCGACCTGCCCCTCCCACCCCACAAACGTCCAGGCTCGCCGCCGGCCATTGGTCCGCGGTCACGTGTTCCCCCGCGCGTTGCCCAATGAGAGCTCGGCATTGCACCCCCCCCACCCACCACCGCCGCCTCCGCTTATCCGCATTGGGATTTTGTAAGCGGCCGCTTGCGGGCTTAGGAAGAACGCCCAGCGACGCTGTCGGGGGGGTCGACGGCGTCGCTCGCAGCCGCCGCCGCCGCCGCCTCTCGCTCGCCCGCTCGGGTGGACGAGCGACCTCCCCACCCCACACCCTTCGCACCAACTCCGCAGGACGTCCTCGGCTCCGTCGCGGTAACGGCGAGACGCGGCGTTCGCGGCCTGTGTTGAGTAAGGCGAGCGCCCATTGGCTCAGAGCCCCCACCACCGGCCGCGGTGACGTCACCGGCCATGTGTGAATCCTGGAGCGGGCAGGCTCGATCCACTGCTGCGTGTCGGCAGCAGGCAGGCTCGATCCACTGCTGCGTGGCAGCAGTAGACCAGCAGCAGTAGACAGGCTCTGTCTACTGCTGCGTGTCGGCAGGCAGGGTCTGTCTACTGCTGCGTGTCGGCAGCAGGCAGGGTCTGTCTACTGCTGCGTGTAAGCAGCAGGCAGTGTCTGTCTACTGCTGCGTGTCGGCAGCAGGCAGGGTCTGTCTACTGCTGCGTGTAAGCAGCAGGCAGGGTCTGTCTACTGCTGCGTGTCACCAGCAGGCAGGGTCTCTACTGCTGCGTGTCACCAGCAGGCAGGGTCTGCCTACTGCTGCGTGTTACCAGCAGGCAGGGTCTGTCTACTGCTGCGTGTCACCAGCAGGCAGGGTCTGTCTACTGCTGCGTGTCGGCAGCAGGCAGGGTCTGTCTACTGCTGCGTGTAAGCAGCAGGCAGTGTCTGCCTAGTGCTGCGTGTCATCAGCAGGCAGGGTCTGCCTAGTGCTGCGTGTCAGCAGCAGGCAGTGTCTGCCTACTGCTGCGTGTCAGCAGCAGGCAGGGTCTGTCTACTGCTGCGTGTCACCAGCAGGCAGGGTCTGTCTACTGCTGCGTGTCACCAGCAGGCAGGGTCTGTCTACTGCTGCGTGTCAGCAGCAGGCAGGGTCTGCCTAGTGCTGCGTGTCACCAGCAGGCAGGGTCTGTCTACTGCTGCGTGTCACCAGCAGGCAGGGTCTGTCTACTGCTGCGTGTCACCAGCAGACAGGGTCTGTCTACTGCTGCGTGTCACCAGCAGGCAGGGTCTGTCTACTGCTGCGTGTCACCAGCAGGCAGGGTCTGTCTACTGCTGCGTGTCAGCAGCAGGCAGGGTCTGTCTACTGATGCGTGTTACCAGCAGGCAGGGTCTGTCTACTGCTGCGTGTCATCAGCAGGCAGGGTCTGCCTACTGCTGCGTGTCAGCAGCAGGCAGGGTCTGTCTACTGCTGCGTGTCACCAGCAGGCAGGGTCTGTCTACTGCTGCGTGTCAGCAGCAGGCAGGGTCTGTCTACTGCTGCGTGTTACCAGTAGGCAGGGTTTCTACTGCTGCATGTCACCAGCAGGCAGGGTTTCTACTGCTGCATGTCACCAGCAGGCAGTGTTTCTACTGCTGCGTGTCACCAGCAGGCTGGGTCTGCCTACTGCTGCGTGTCACCAGCAGGCAGAGTCTGTCTACTGCTGCGTGTCGGCAGCAGGCAGGCTCTGTCTACTGCTGCGTGTCACCAGTAGGGAGGGTCTGTCTACTGCTGCGTGTCACCATCAGGCAGGGTCTGTCTACTGCTGCGTGTCAGCAGTAGACAGGCTCGATCCACTGCTGCGTGTCAGCAGTAGACCAGCAGCAGTAGACAGGCTCTGTCTACTGCTGCGTGTCGGCAGCAGGCAGGGTCTGTCTACTGCTGCGTGTAAGCAGCAGGCAGGGTCTGTCTACTGCTGCGTGTCACCAGCAGGCAGGGTCTCTACTGCTGCGTGTCACCAGCAGGCAGGGTCTGCCTACTGCTGCGTGTTACCAGCAGGCAGGGTCTGCCTAGTGCTGCGTGTCAGCAGCAGGCAGGGTCTGTCTACAGCTGCGTGTCACCAGCAGGCAGGGTCTGTCTACTGCTGCGTGTTACCAGCAGGCAGGGTCTGCCTAGTGCTGCGTGTCAGCAGCAGGCAGGGTCTGTCTACTGTTGCGTGTCACCAGCAGGCAGGGTCTGTCTACTGCTGCGTGTCACCAGCAGGCAGGGTCTGTCTACTGTTGCGTGTAAGCAGCAGGCAGGGTCTGTCTACTGCTGCGTGTCACCAGCAGGCAGGGTCTGTCTACTGCTGCGTGTCAGCAGCAGGCAGAGTCTGTCTACTGCTGCGTGTTACCAGCAGGCAGAGTCTGTCTACTGCTGCGTGTCACCAGCAGGCAGGGTCTCTACTGCTGCGTGTCACCAGCAGGCAGGGTCTGCCTACTGCTGCGTGTTACCAGCAGGCAGGGTCTGCCTACTGCTGCGTGTCAGCTGCAGGCAGGGTCTGCCTACTGCTGCGTGTCATCAGCAGGCAGGGTCTGTCTACTGCTGCGTGTCACCAGCAGGCAGGGTCTGTCTACTGCTACGTGTCAGCAGCAGGCAGGGTCTGTCTACTGCTGCGTGTTACCAGCAGGCAGGGTCTGTCTACTGCTGCGTGTTACCAGTAGGCAGGGTTTCTACTGCTGCATGTCACCAGCAGGCAGGGTTTCTACTGCTGCATGTCACCAGCAGGCAGTGTTTCTACTGCTGCGTGTCACCAGCAGGCAGGGTCTGTCTACTGCTGCGTGTTACCAGCAGGCAGGGTCTGTCTACTGCTGCGTGTCACCAGCAGGCAGTGTCTGTCTACTGCTGTGTCTCACCAGCAGGCAGGGTTTCTACTGCTGTGTGTCAGCAGCAGGCAGGGTCTGTCTACTGCTGCGTGTCACCAGCAGGCAGGGTCTGCCTACTGCTGCGTGTCACCAGCAGGCAGAGTCTGTCTACTGCTGCGTGTCGGCAGCAGGCAGGCTCTGTCTACTGCTGCGTGTCAGCAGTAGACAGGCTCGATCCACTGCTGCGTGTCAGCAGTAGACCAGCAGCAGTAGACAGGCTCTGTCTACTGCTGTGTGTCACCAGTAGGCAGGGTCTGTCTACTGCTGCGTGTCACCATCAGGCAGGGTCTGCCTACTGCTGCGTGTCAGCAGCAGGCAGGGTCTCTACTGCTGCGTGTCACCAGCAGGCAGGGTCTGCCTACTGCTGCGTGTCAGCAGCAGGCAGGGTTTCTACTGCTGCGTGTCATCAGCAGGCAGGGTCTGCCTACTGCTGCGTGTCATCAGCAGGCAGGGTCTGCCTACTGCTGCGTGTCACCAGCAGGCAGGGTCTGCCTACTGCTGCGTGTCACCAGCAGGCAGGGTTTCTACTGCTGCGTGTCACCAGCAGGCAGGGTTTCTACTGCTGCGTGTCACCAGCAGGCAGGGTCTGCCTACTGCTGCGTGTCACCAGCAGGCAGGGTCTGTCTACTGCTGCGTGTCAGCAGCAGGTAGGGTCTGTCTACTGCTGCGTGTCACCAGCAGGCAGGGTCTGTCTACTGCTGCGTGTCAGCAGCAGGCAGGGTTTCTACTGCTGCATGTCACCAGCAGGCAGGGTCTGTCTACTGCTGCGTGTCACCAGCAGGCAGGGTCTGTCTACTGCTGCGTGTCAGCAGCAGGCAGGGTTTCTACTGCTGCGTGTCACCAGCAGGTAGGGTCTACCTGCTGCGTGTCACCAGCAGGCAGGGTCTGTCTACTGCTGCGTGTCAGCAGTAGACAGGGTCTGCCTACTGCTGCGTGTCATCAGCAGGCAGTGTCTGTCTACTGCTGCGTGTCACCAGCAGGCAGTGTCTGTCTACTGCTGCGTGTCACCAGCAGGCAGTGTCTGTCTACTGCTGTGTCTCACCAGCAGGCAGGGTTTCTACTGCTGCGTGTCAGCAGCAGGCAGGGTCTGTCTACTGCTGCGTGTCACCAGTAGGCAGGGTCTGCCTACTGCTGCGTGTCACCAGCAGGCAGGGTCTGTTTACTGTTGCGTGTCAGCAGCAGGCAGGGCCTGCTGGTGAGACACATTTCACCTGCCGCCTGATGATGCCGGTTGTAATTCCCAGCGACTCTGTGAATGTAAATGTCGTTGTGGGTTAACTCCGCACCAGACCGGTGGCGCCGAGCTGGTCAGCGGCTGGCACGTTTTGTTCACGTGACGAACCTTTCCCAATTGGCCATATAGGGTGGTGGCGGGCTCAACGACGGAGTATTACTCGCGCGATCTAGCCCAGATGGTTTTTCTTTTTAAACCCTCTGTTGTGGATAATGTTAGTTTGGTGAAAACAGGAATGCCTCTCTCGCAAGGCACTCGTCCCACCGTCATTGATGAGGATGTCGGCTCGTAACCACCGCATCACTGCCCTCGTCGAGAGAGTGAGAGAGGATGGGATTCGGAGTCGACAGCAGGAGCAACCACAGACTATTTAAACTATTAAACTCGATATATTTTATTTTACCAGGCAAGGCCCCACTGAGCTACACCCTGTAGCTCTTTTTCAGAAGCCACCCACGGCTATGACAAGCGACGGCTCAACGGAGAGGGTCGGCATCATCACGTGGACATTCAGAGCAGCCGCGAAAATTTACAGCAGCCAATCACACCACCGTTTACTGCATGGGAGGCGCGGTGTGAATTCTCATCGGTAGTGATGACAACAATGACGACGACGATGACGACAACGATGATGACGACAATGACGACGATGATGACGACAACGATGATGACGACAATGACGACGATGATGACGACAATGACGACGATGATGACGACAATGACGACGATGATGACGGCGATGATGATGACAATGACGACAATGACGACAACGACGACAATGACGACAACGACGACAATGACGACAATAATGACGACGACGATGATGACAACAATGAGACAATGACGATGACGGCGATGATGACGGCGATGATGACGGCGATGATGACGGCGATGATGACGGCGTTGACGACAATGACGACGACGATGATGACGACGATGACAACAACGATGATGATGACGATGTCATCATCGTCATCTCTGTCGTCTTTGTCGTCGTCATCGTCGTCATCGTCGTTGACGACGATAATGATCACAATGACGACAACGACGACAATGACGACAATAAAGACGATGACGATGACGACAATGACGACGATGACGATGACGACGACAATGACGACAATGACGACGATGACGACGACAATGACGACGATGATGACGACAATGACGACGATGATGACGGCGATGATGACGGCGATGACGACAACGACGACAACGACGACAATGACGACAATGACGACAATAATGACGACGACGATGATGACGGCGATGACGACAATAATGACGACGATGACAACAACGATGATGACGACGACGTCATCGTCGTCATCTCTGTCGTCGTTGTCGTCATCATCGTCGTCATCGTCGTCGACGACGAAGACGATCACGATGACGATCACAATGACGACGAGTCGAGTCCAAGCTGCACGTTTCTTGCCCCGTCGCCTCGCAGGACCGAGTCATGCGCCGGTGAGGCTGTCGCCATGGAGACGGACGACATCACCTTCGTGACGGAGGAGGTGGAGAGCGGTTACCACGGTTACGCGGAGACCCCCGGTGGGGTGGATGTGGGGGGCGCCCCCCCCGCCGGGGCCTCCCCTTCCTCGGGGGCGGGGGAGGAGGAGGTCCACAGAAAGCGGCGACCCCGGGGCCACGGGGACCCCGACAGGAAGGGCAAGAGACCCCGGTGAGGAGGGAGCCTGAGTCTGGCTCTGTGAGCCATGGTGATTAACACTGAACCCTGTGGGAGCCTGAGTCTGGCTCTTTGAGCCACGGTGATTGACACTGAACCCTGTGGGAGCCTGAGTCTGGCTCTGTGAGCCACGGTGATTAACACTGAACCTTGTGGGAGCCTGAGTCTGGCTCTGTGAGCCTCGGTGATTAACACTGAACCCTGTGGGAGCCTCAGTCTGGCTCCGTGAGCCACGGTGATGAACACTGAACCCTGTGGGAGCCTCAGTCTGGCTCTGTGAGCCACGGTGATTAACACTGAACCTTGTGGGAGCCTGAGTCTGGCTCTGTGAGCCACGGTGATTGACACTGAACCCTACGGTAGCCTCAGTCTGGCTCTGTGAGCCATGGTGATTGACACTGAACCCTGTGGGAGCCTGAGTCTGGCTCTGTGAGCCACGGTGATTAACACTGAACCTTGTGGGAGCCTGAGTCTGGCTCTGTGAGCCTCGGTGGTTAACACTGAACCCTGTGGGAGCCTCAGTCTGGCTCCGTGAGCCACGGTGATGAACACTGAACCCTGTGGGAGCCTCAGTCTGGCTCTGTGAGCCTCGGTGATTACACTGAACCCTGTGGGAGCCTCAGTCTGGCTCTGTGAGCCATGGTGATTAACACTGAACCCTGTGGGAGCCTCAGTCTGGCTCTTTGAGCCATGGTGATTAACACTGAACCCTGTGGGAGCCTCAGTCTGGCTCTGTGAGCCTCGGTGATGAACACTGAACCCTGTGGGAGCCTCAGTCTGGCTCTGTGAGCCACGGTGATTGACACTGAACTCTGTGGGAGCCTCAGTCTGGCTCTGTGAGCCTCAGTGATGAATGCTGAAGTCTTAAGAAACCTGGTGATGGAGAGGCAAAGTAGACTGGGCGAGGTGCTGGTCACCTACCCCCTCCCGTGCGGCTTGCCAGCCTTCACACGCGCTGCTACTCGACAACAGCACTTGCCCCGGGAGTCTGTTGAAGGCTACACGGGGGACCTTTGTGTGTGCATGTGTGTGTGCGTGTGCGTGCATGTGTGTGTGTGTGCATGTGTGTGTGCGTGCGTGTGGTGCATCGGCCACTCATCTCGACCCGTGGCACCTGCTGGGTCTGCCCCGTGACCTCCTGTCAGCGGGCGTTCGACACTTCACGTGACTGCCTCAACGTGCACCTGGCCTGGCACAAGCACCTTGGTGATGTCACCGCCACTTAGTGGCGAATGGCGGTTGTTGTTGTTGTGTGCGTGTAGGCCGGTATATCGAGTTCAGTGGTGTAGCGGTTAGCGCTACGCCGCGCTCCGAACCCGGCGACCCGAGTTCGATTCCCGCCCACGGCCAACACCGGTGACGGTTATCTGAACCGGTCCTGGGCCTCCCCTAGGTCGACTCGGCCTCAAATGAGTACCTGGTGGGGTGTGTAAACATTGCCACTGGGGAGACAAAGGTGGCTGGGCGCGGTGCTGGCCACCCACCAGCTCGCGTGCCCCAGCGCCGGCCTTAGTGGACGCTGCTACTCGCTAACAGCACTTGCCCCAAAAAAAGGACCACAGAGGCTCGGAGATGTTAACTACCTCGCCTGGTACACAGGAGGTCGTGGGTTCAATCTCGACCCTGACGCCTGCTGCTGTCTATTTGAGTTTGTGTCTCTCTCTCTCCGTGGTGAGATGTTAACTACCTCGCCTGGTATACAGGAGGTCGTGGGTTCGATCCCTGACCCTGACGCCTGCTGTATATTTGGAGTTTGCGTGTCTCTCTCTGTGGTGAGATGTTAACTACCTCGCCTGGTATACAGGAGGTAGTGAGTTCAATCCCGACCCTGACACCTGCTGCTGTATATTTGGTGTTTGCGTGTCTCTCTCTCTCTCTGTGGTGAGATGTTAACTACCTCGCCCCAGGAGGTCGTGGGTTAGAACCATGACCCTGACGCCTGCTGAATATTTGGAGTTTGCGTGTCTCTCTCTCTCTCTGTGGTGAGATGTTAACTACCTCGCCTGGTATACAGGAGGTCGTGGGTTCGATCGTGACCCTGACGCCTGCTGAATATTTGGAGTTTGTGTGTCTCTCTCTCTCTCTGTGGTGAGATGTTAACTACCTCGCCTGGTCTACAGGAGGTCGTGGGTTCGATCGTGACCCTGACGCCTGCTGAATATTTGGAGTTTGTGTGTCTCTCTCTCTGTGGTGAGATGTTAACTACCTCGCCTGGTCTACAGGAGGTCGTGGGTTCGATCGTGACCCTGACGCCTGCTGAATATTTGGAGTTTGTGTGTCTCTCTCTCTGTGGTGAGATGTTAACTACCTCGCCTGGTCTACAGGAGGTCGTGGGTTCGATCGTGACCCTGACGCCTGCTGAATATTTGGAGTTTGCGTGTCTCTCTCCCCGTGGTAGCGCGTGGATATTTCTCCGGGTCCTCCGGTTTTTCCCTCCACATTTAGACTCGCCGCCACGCGTTGCAGTGTATTTGGCTGCTGCTGTAAATTTCCACGTGGTGATGATGATGATGATGACAATCCACCTCGTTGAGCTTGTCATTTGTGCTAGCCAGGCCGCTCGGCGGGGCCTTACCTGGTTAAAATAAAAAAAAAAACAGTGTATAGTCTGTTGAGGCTACACGATGGATCTGTGCGTGTGTGTGCGTGTGTGCGTGTGTGTGCGTGTGTGCGCGTGTGTGTGCGTGTGTGTGCGTGTGTGTGCGTGTGTGTGCGTGTGTTGGCAGGCCGGCGTATCTGCATTACTACACGGAGGCTCACGCTCGAGTCCGGCGCCAGCACCCGGAGCTGCCGCGCTCGGAGATCAACCGGCGCGTGAGCGAGGGCTGGCGCCGGCTGGCGGTGGGGGAGCGCGACGTTTACCTGCAGCGCGCGCACGCTGAGAGGGCACGTGCCGTGAGACTCGCACGCAGACTCGCGTAGAGACTCGCACAGAGAGACTCGTGAACAGAGACTCGCACAGAGAGACTCGTAAACAGAGACTCGCACAGAGAGACTCGCACAGAGAGACTCGTAAACAGAGACTCGCACAGAGAGACTCGTAAACGGAGACTCGCACAGAGAGACTCGTGAACGGAGACTCGCACAGAGACTCATGAACGGAGACTCGCAAGGACTCACATAGAGACTCGCACAGAGAGACTCGTGAACGGAGACTCGCACGCAGACTCGCGTAGAGACTCGCACAGAGAGACTCATGAACGCAGACTCGCGTAGAGACTCGCACAGAGAGACTCGTAAACAGAGACTCGCAAGGACTCACATAGAGACTCGCACAGAGAGACTCGTAAACGGAGACTCGCACAGAGAGACTCGTGAACGGAGACTCGCACAGAGACTCATGAACGGAGACTCGCAAGGACTCACATAGAGACTCGCACAGAGAGACTCGTGAACGGAGACTCGCACGCAGACTCGCGTAGAGACTCGCACAGAGCGACTCATGAACGCAGACTCGCATAGAGACTCGCACAGAGAGACTCGTAAACAGAGACTCGCAAGGACTCACATAGAGACTCGCACAGAGAGACTCGTAAACAGAGACTCGCACAGAGAGACTCGCACAGAGAGACTCGTAAACAGAGACTCGCACAGAGAGACTCGCACAGAGAGACTCGTAAACAGAGACTCGCACAGAGAGACTCGCACAGAGAGACTCGTAAACGGAGACTCGCACAGAGAGACTCGTAAACGGAGACTCGCACAGAGAGACTCGCACAGAGAGACTCGTAAACGGAGACTCGCACAGAGAGACTCGTAAACGGAGACTCGCACAGAGAGACTCGTGAACGGAGACTCGCACAGAGACTCATGAACGGAGACTCGCAAGGACTCACATAGAGACTCGCACAGAGAGACTCGTGAATGGAGACTCGCACGCAGACTCGCGTAGAGACTCGCACAGAGAGACTCATGAACGCAGACTCGCGTAGAGACTCGCACAGAGAGGCTCGTAAACAGAGACTCGCAAGGACTCAAATAGACCCGCACGGACCTACGTAGAGACTCGCACAGAGAGACTCGTGAACAGAGACTCGCAAGGACTCGCACAGAGAGACTCATGAACAGAGCTCGCAAGGACTCACATAGAGACTCGCACAGACCCACGTAGAGACTCGCACAGAGAGACACATGAACAGAGACTCGCACAGACACGTACTTGCACGGCTTTGCACAGAGACGCGCGCACAGAGAGACACGCACGGACTCGCAGAGACACGGACTCGCAGAGACACGGACTCGCACAGACACGGACTCGCACAGAGAGACTCGCGCACAGGCCCACACGCAGAAACTCCTAAACAGAGATTTGCACGCGCAAAAACCCGCACACGTACGCACGCGTACACACGGACACACGCGTACACACGGACACACGCGTACACACGGACACACGCGTACACACGGACACACGCGTACACACGCGTACACACGGACACACGCGTACACACGGACACACGCGTACACACGGACACACTACCACCATCGCCAGCACTGACCGCGTGCCCCTGTGTCCCGCATGCCCCTCGCTCCTCCGCTGCCCCCCCCCCCCCCCCCCTACAGTCCACGCCCGCCACCACGGGGGGGGCCCTGTCCATGTCCACGGCCCCCTCCCCCGAGCCCCCCACGTCCTCGCCCCTCCCTGGTTTTCGTCGCATCCTCCCGCGATCCGTCTACCTCGTCATCCCGGCAGCGGGGGGCAAGGGGGGTTGGCGCGGGGGCCCCGGGGACAGCGGGAGGGGTGGTGCAGTGGCCGGGGGTCAGGTGCCCGCGTGGGAGGAGGCGGCGGTCGGAGGTGAGAGGGCGGTGACCTCCCCGCGTGACCTCCCCGCGTGACCTCCCCGCGTGACCTCCCCGCGTGACCTCCCCGCGTGACCTCCCCGCGTGACCTCCCCGCGTGACCACCCCGCGTGACCTCCCCGCGTGACCTCCCCGCGTGACCCCGTGACACGGTCACCAACTTGGCATCGTCGGCAGCAGCGTCATCGTCGGCTTCATCGTCGCAGCAGCATCGTCATCACCATCACCATCACCAATTGTTACCTTGTGACCGTCATCACCATCACCAATTGTTACCTTGTGACCGTCATCACCATCACCAATTGTTACCTTGTGACTGTCATCACCATCACCAATTGTTACCTTGTGACCGTCATCACCATCACCAATTGTTACCTTGTGACCGTCATCACCATCACCAATTGTTACCTTGTGACCGTCATCAACATCACCACCATCACCACCTTCATCACCATAAGAAAGTCAAAGGTCCCCCGTATAGCCCTGTAACAGCATGTTAGGGCAAGTGCTGTTAGCGAGCACCTATTAAGGCCGGCACGGCGCACGAGGTGGTTGGGTTACCGGCATGACGCCCGGCCGCCTTTGTCTCCCCAATGGTGACGGTCACGCACCGCTACACCGGGTACTCATTTGAGGCTGAGTCGACCTCGGGGAGGCCCAGGACCGGTTCAGATAATCGTCACCGGTGTTGGCCGTGAGCGGGAATCGAACTCGGGTCGCCGGGTTCGTAGTGCAGTCATCAACATCGTCATCATCATCATTACCATCGTCACCTTCATCCACACCATCATCATCTACCTTATCACCGTCAGCCTGAATATCATTACCATCATCATCACCTTCATCACTACCGTCGTTCTCACCATCACTTTCCATTATTAATAATCAAGGTTTTGTTGGGTTAGTATAAATGTGTCGTAACCCTCCACCACCCGACACAGCCAATTTGCCAGAATCGCCAGATGATGCTGGATGATGTGCGAAACGTCGTACTACTCAAATTGTAAATGTTGTGGATTTACACCGGTGGGCTGAAGTAGTACGCTACACTATACACTACATTACACACTACACTATACTATACACTACACTATACACTACATTACACACTACACTATACACTACATTACACTATATACTACACTACACACTGCATTACACACTAAACTACACTATACACTACACTATACACTACACATTAAACCATGCTAGTAACTAAATTGGCGCTTTGTTTACGTGACAAATCCCTTGCTAATTGGCTGTGTCGGGTGGTGGAGGGTTTCCACACATTTACGAACGCGGTCGAACCCAGCAAACCTTGACGGTGAACGATATGGGTTTGCGAAAGCCTCCTACTGCGTGTTCAACTCGCCATTGTCATCTACGGACTACTGAGCTCTATAACTCTCTTCCAGACTCGACCTGAGCACAAGCGGTAGACCGGCGACGTGTCTTGCGCGCGGGCAACTCTAGAGCAGTCGAAAGCTCTGAACGGCGTGGTGTCGTTCATAAATGTGGACGGGGGAAAAAAGCCGGAGGATCCCGGGGGAAAACAATGGCATTGGGGAGAACACGCAAATGTTCTACGTGCGTATGGGGTCGTCCATAAATGACGTCACGCACCTGGGGGGGGGGGGGGGGGGGGTTGGGGTCAGACATTTGTGACGATGTGTGACGTCACGTAAAAATGCGCAACTTTAAATAAATACAGACGACACGTTCTGCTTAAATTTTGATTTAAAGCTTTCGTGACTGCAGTGATTCATATTCTTGGTTCTTTCGGTAAAGTCACGTTGAAGGGAAGCAATAAAATAATAAAATATATATAACAATAAAATTCTCACGACGTTTTCACTGCAACACAAGCAGTCATCATCAGGTGTGAAAACCAACGGCAAGAACATTTGAAAGAAGATGATGACTGCTTGTCTTGCAGTCGAAACGTCGTGAGAATTTTATTGTTTTATATTTATTTTATTGTTTCCCTTCAATGTGACTTTACCGAAAGAACCAAGAATACGTTCTACTTAATTAAATAGACTTTTTCATAAATGTTTTCTGCTGCAACATCAGAGCGCAGCGCCACATTAAATACGCACTACTACAATGACAATAGTTTAAAGCGATTTGAAGCATGTTTTATTTTTTGCGGGGCAGGGGGGGGGCAGAGCTTTGTGACGTCATATTCGAGGGGGGGGTCTGACTTTTTGTGACGCCGTGTGACGAGGGTGGGGGTGGTCAAAAATCGTCCAAAATCGCGTGACGTCATTTATGGACGGCCCTTAAGTTGAACGTCTTTCGCACCGTGCGTAGCCAACCGAGCTAATCGGAGGTGGCTACGCAGCAGGTGTCGGGGTCGGGATCGAAGCCACGACCTCCTGCGTGCTAGGCGAGGGAGTTAGCGTCTCGTCGCCGCCATCCTCGGCGTGGTCCTCATGGCAGGTGGCCGCGTGTCTCTGTGCGTGCGTGCGACGTGCCAGCCGTGGTGGAGGCCGACGCTGCTACCCAGAGTGCCGTGCAGAGCGTCCTGGTGTCACCGCCGGGGAGCGGCTCGGAGAGGGGCCTCGGCGCCACCCCATCCTCGTGCGTCACACCAACCCCCGCGCGGCACACTGCAAAGACCCGCCCCCGCCCCCCGTGTAGCCTGTAACAGACTGTTGGGGCAAGCGCTGTTAGCGAGTAGCGAGCACCTTTGAAAGGCCGGCACGGCACACGAGGGGGGTGGGTGGCCAGCAACCACGCCCGGCCGCCTTTGTCTCCCCAGTGGCGATGTTTACTACGCACCGCACCAAGGTACCCGTTTGAGGCCGAGTCGACCTAGGGGAGGCCCAGGAGCGCTTCAAATAAGCGTCACCGCTGATGTTGGCTGTGAGCGGGTATCGAACTCGGGGTCACCGGGTTCTTAGCGTAGCGTTGACGGTTCCGCGACCCGTCCACTCCACTGCACCGCGCCCTACACCCGGCATCATCACACCGCACACTGTCCCCCCCATGCCAGATGTACAGCAAGACGGTCAGATAGGTGGAAAGACGGCCAGATGGGCATACACCCAGATGGACAGCCACCCAGATGGACAGCCACCCAGATGGACAGCCACCCAGATGGACAGCCACCCAGATGGACAGCCACCCAGATGGACAGATAGCTAGATAGACAGACATATGAACAATCAGATATCCAGCTGGATGGACAGACAGATTGACAGATGGACAGACAGATTGACAGATGGACAGAAAGATTGACAGATGAATGGTAAGAGCCAATGTCGCCTTAGTTGGAGTCGTGAATTGCTCCTGAGCCCCTGACCCAACCCCCCCCCACCCCCCCACCCACCCACCCCCGTCTCACCGAGTTCCCGCCCCCCACAGCACCGCGGAGGGCCCCCCACGCCGGCCGGAGCGGGGTCTGGAGGTGGTCGTCATGGAGACGCTGCCCCCACCGCCCCCTCCCCACGATTGGGGCGGCACGGAGGGGGCCGTCGCCCCCGTCCACGTGCCGGGGTTCGCCGGCACGCACAGCGCACCACCGGTGAGGGTGGGGGGGGCACCCGGGGAGACTAGCACGTGGGGGTGGGGCTGGAGATAAGGGGGTCTGTGTAGGGATTGTGCCCCATTGAAGCCCATTGGTCCCCCCCTATTACCCCCCACGTGACCCCACTGTGACCCCTGCGTGACCCCACTGTGACCCCTGCGTGACCCCCCGTGCAGGTGGAGGAGTCCAGGGCCCAGTTCATCCTGGTGCCCGTGAGCAACGCCACTCAGGACGGTCACACGCCCGGCAAGGTCGGCCACGCCACACTCTCTCCGCTGCTACAGCATCGTCAGCAGCAGCAGCAGCAACATCAACAACATCGTCATGAACAGCGTCATCGGTAGCATCATCATCAGCGTCATCAGCATCATCATCACCGTCATCATCATCATCATAATCGCCAGCATCATCAGTAGCATCATCGTCATCGGTAGCATCATCATCATCGCCAGCATCATTAGCACTTTAAGCAGCACCGTCAATTGCTAATTGCAAAGAGAACACGGCCATTATGAACCCCATGAGACAGACACCCTGACCCAGGGCTCAAACTCGGGTGGTAGTGGCTATGCTGCTGCACTCTGCTGCACTCTGTTGCACTCTGCTGCACATTGCCGCTTGTAGTGATCCAGCACTTTGGAGGCAACAGCGAGGGGTGGGTGGATCGCTCGCAGGATGAGGAGCCGTGTACCCCTGGCTCTGCCCGTAGAGGGCGGTACAGCAAAGTGTGGACTAATCTCTGATCTGTTCCGTCCGTACGGGATCGAGCGTTTCCCCCTCGCACGCGCGTGGGTTTACTCCGCGCGCTCCGGTTTTGCTCCCACGCGCAATAAAGCAGTCGTCAATCGACCGGCAACATCTTGGCGGACGCAGAGGACCGCAGAGCTTGGGCAGTGCCGGCGGCTCCTCGCCACCGCGTGAAAAAATATAAATATATAAATATAGCTCGGCACGCCGTGTCGTGTTTCAAGAAAATGTCGCTGCGGCCCCCCGTGCGCAGGCCACAGGGAAGTCGACGTACACACGGCGAGGCCGCGGCAGCTGCCCCGGCGCGGGCTGCTGCTTCGGCTACGTCACACGGCACAAGCCTCCCGTGTGCCCGCACTGCGGCACCTGGCTCGGGGGCAAGTGGGTGCCGAGGGCCGGCGCCGTCGCCCGCGGGGCCCCCGCCGCGGCGGCGGCGGCGGCGGCGGCGGCCGCCCCCCCCGCGGCGAAGGGCGGCGGAGGAGGAGGAGGTGGCAAGGGCGGCGTGGACCTTGCGGTCGCGAAGGTATCGGCCGGCAGCGTGCACCGGCGTCATTATCGCCGTCATCGCGAGCATCGTCTCCACCGTCACCACCACGGCCACCACCATCGTCGTCGTTGTCGTCGGCACGACCATCGGCATTGTCTCACCCGCTGTCTCCCTACGTGCCTCACCGCTTGTCTCTCTCCGTCTCCCCGCGTGTCTCTCCCCCTGTCTCCCCCCCTGTCTCCCCGTGTGTCTCTCCCCCTGTCTCTCCCCCTGTCTCCCCCTGTCTCCCCGCGTGTCTCTCCCCCTGTCTCCCCCTGTCTCCCCGTGTCTCTCCCCTGTCTCCCCGCGTGTCTCTCCCCCTGTCTCTCCCCCTGTCCCCCCCTGTCTCCCCGCGTGTCTCTCCCCCTGTCTCCCCCTGTCTCCCCGCGTGTCTCCCCCTGTCTCCCCGCGTGTCTCCCTCCCTGTCTCCCCGCGTGTCTCTCCCCCTGTCTCCCCGTGTCTCTCCCCTGTCTCCCCGCGTGTCTCTCCCCCTGTCTCTCCGTGTCTCTCCCCCTGTCTCCCCGTGTCTCTCCCCCTGTCTCCCCGTGTGTCTCTCTCCCTGTCTCCCCACGTGTCTCTCCCCCTGTCTCCCCGTGTGTCTCTCTCCCTGTCTCCCCACGTGTCTCTCCCCCTGTCTCCCCACGTGTCTCTCCCCCTGTTTCCCCACGTGTCTCTCCCCCTGTCTCCCCGTGTGTCTCTCCCCCTGTCTCCCTGCGTGTCTCTCCCCCTGTCTCCCCGCGTGTCTCTCCCCCTGTCTCCCCCTGTCTCCCCCTGTATCCCCGCGTGTCTCCCCCTGTCTCCCCGCGTGTCTCCCCCTGTCTCCGCGCGTGTCTCCCCTCTGTCTCCCCGCGTGTCTCTCCCCCTGTCTCTCCCCCTGTCTCCCCCGGTCTCCCCGCGTGTCTCTCCCCCTGTCTCCCCGTGTGTCTCTCCCCCTGTGTCCCCACGTGTCTCTCCCCCTGTCTCCCCGTGTCTCTCCCCCTGTCTCCCCGTGTCTCTCCCCCTGTCTCCCCGTGTCTCTCCCCCTGTCTCCCCCTGTCTCCCCCAGTCTCCCCGCGTGTCTCCCCCTGTCTCCCCGCGTGTCTCCCCCTGTCTCCCCGCGTGTCTCCCCTCTGTCTCCCCGCGTGTCTCTCCCCCTGTCTCTCCCCCTGTCTCCCCCTGTCTCCCCGCGTGTCTCTCCCCCTGTCTCCCCGTGTCTCTCCCCCTGTCTCTCCCCCTGTCTCCCCGTGTCTCCCCGTGTCTCTCCCCCTGTCTCCCCGTGTCTCTCCCCCTGTCTCCCCGTGTCTCTCCCCCTGTCTCTCCCCCTCTCTCCCCCTGTCTCCCCGCGTGTCTCCCCCCGTCTCCCCACGTGTCTCTCCCCGTTTCCCCACGTGTCTCTCCCCCTGTCTCCCCGTGTGTCTCTCCCCCTGTCTCCCTGCGTGTCTCTCCCCCTGTCTCCCCGCGTGTCTCTCCCCCTGTCTCCCCCTGTCTCCCCCTGTCTCCCCGCGTGTCTCCCCCTGTCTCCCCGCGTGTCTCCCCCTGTCTCCCCGCGTGTCTCCCCTCTGTCTCCCCGCGTGTCTCTCCCCCTGTCTCTCCCCCTGTCTCCCCCTGTCTCCCCCCGTGTCTCTCCCCCTGTCTCCCCGCGTGTCTCCCCCCCTGTCTCCCCACGTGTCTCTCCCCCTGTCTCTCCCCCTGTCTCCCCGCGTGTCTCCCCACGTGTCTCTCCCCCTGTCTCCCCCCCTGTCTCCCCACGTGTCTCCCCCCCTGTCTCCCCCCCCGTCTCCCCGCGTGTCTCCCCAACACAGCGGCTGTGTTTAGGAAGCCTGCCCGTGACCGCCGTGTTTGACGTCTCCATCCAGGTAGGAACTCCCTCCCCCACCCCCCTCTCCACCTCCGCGTGCGCTCGGCTCGTCGTGCTCACTCGGCTCCACCGGCTGCGTCGGGCGACGCCGAATCTTGCATGGGATTAAGACGAGCAGGGGTGGACAACCTATGGCGGACCGTGAGCTCTGCGAAGAGCCGAGTTTCACGCAATCATCCCCCGGGTGACGTTTTGTCAGTCGAAGACAGAGAGAGCGAGCGAGCGAGCGAGCCGTGTTCCACCGCCAAGAGAGAAAACGCGAAATGTAAACAAAGGCGGTCGGGGTCTTTAGCGCCGGTACAACGGGCGTCGCCGATTGGCTGACGGAATGGCTCCGCGCCGCTTAGAAGCGCTCGGATTGGCCGAAATTGGTGCACACAACGTGAGCACAACGTGAACACGTGTTACCGTTAGAATGTTTCGCGCGAGTCGGGGGGGGGGGTCCCATCGGAGGTGAAACTTTAACCGGAAAACCGTCGGCCGATGTCGCCGTTAAGCGAGGGGACTCTCTGTACTTACCATGTTACGCCGTACGAATTATCGCACGACTTCAATTCATTGCTCTTTGGGCCTTTCGGTGAAGCCACGTAGATAGAAAAAAATAATCAAAATAATAACAATATCACAAGCAATCGTCTTCAGGTGAAGACGATTGCTTGTGCCTCCATCGAAACGTCGTGAAAGGCCCGAAGAATAATGAATTCCTGCAGTCACGAAAGCTTTAAGTCAAGATTCAGTTCATCATCCGTTGCTGCTGCTGTGACGGCGCGTTCCACGTCACGCCCCTCCGATGGGGCCTCACCCGGTTGGCCACCGCCGGCATGCGGTGCGATTCCGGTGACGCCCTCGTTCCTACCGTCGCGGAGGAGGAGACGGAGCGGCAAAACGGGTGCCTAGAGACAGCAGCCGGGTGCGGATTTGGCGGCAGCTCGGGGGTTTGGTGCAGGGGGGGGGAGTAGGCCTCGATCCAGCAGCGGATAGACCCTGGCCCGCTGTCGATGCCGACGCCGGTGGTGACGGTGGACGGGCGTGTCTCGGCAGCTGCACGGAGCCGAGGCTTCCTCGGTGGGCGGCGAGCCCCTCCCCGGACCCCCGACCCCCGCCGGTTCGGCAGAACCTAACCAGGCCGTCGCCGGGCTGATGGTCGCCACGGCGACGGGACCCGAGGGAGCGGCGCAGCCCCGGGGCCCTCCGTGCCGGGCCGGGGCGGCGGCCAAGGACGCGGTGTCGCCGTCGCCGCCGCCCGACGGGATGAGTGTACGTGGCTCCACGTGCCGTGCGTGCCGTGTTCACGTGTGCGCCCGCTGCGCTGCGGATCCGGCGACCCCGGGGTTCGATTCCCGCTCGCGGCCAACGCCGGTGACGATCGTCTGAACCGGTCCCGGGCCTCCCCTAGGTCGACTCGGCCTCAAGCGAGTGCCTGGTGCCGCGCGCGGTAGTGAACGTCGCCACTGGGGAGACGAAGGCGGGCCGGGCGTGGTGCTGGCCACCCACCCCCTCGTGTGCCACCGTGCCAGCCTTCGTAGGCGCTGCTACTCGCTAACAGCACTTGCCCCTACAGTCTGTTAAGGCTACACGGGGGACCTTTGTCTTTTGTACGTAGTAGGGGATGGCGCGCCGCGCTGCGAACCCGTCGTCACGACCTCGATTCCCGCTCGCGGCCAACGCCGGTGGGCGATTAATTATCTGAACCGGTCCTAAGCCCTCCCCTAGGTCGACTCGGCTTCAAATGAGTACCTGGTGCAGTGTGTGAACGTCGCCACCGGGGAGACAAAGGCGGCCGGGCGCGGTGGTGGCCACCCGTCCCCTCGTGCGCCGTGCCGGCCTTCGGAGGTGCTCGGGGACAGCACTTGCCCCCCCCCCCCCCCCAACGGGCTGTGTAGGGGAACTTTGTCTTTGTTAAAGGATTAGAGAACACGCCCAGGGCAGACACATCATCACCGTCGCAGTGATCTTCATCCAGCAGTGGAGAGACCACCACCAACGACGAGGGCTGTTGTGCGCGCTTGACAGAACGGCAAAGACCCGGGCGCCCCCGCCTCTCGCTCCCCGATCCTCCCGGCCGCAGTGCATGCTGGGAAAGGTTCAGCCGAGGTCGCGCGGGTGCCGCCCGTTCTTCCGTCGGGGCCGAGGGTCAGGTACGCGCACCTAGCCTGGCACGGGCGGAGTGTCGGCTTGCGCTTCGCTCGCGGAGGGGCGGCGTCCCTCCTCTCCCCCCCTCCCCCCTCTCCCCCCCCTCCCCCCCTCTTCCCCCCCCCTCCTCTCCCCCCCCTCCCCCCTCTCCCCCCCTCCTCTTCCCCCCTCCCCCCTCCCTCCTCTCCCCCCCTCCCCCCTCTTCCCCCCTCCCTCCTCTTCCCCCCTCCCTCCTCTCCCCCCCCTCCCTCCTCTCCCCTCTTCTCCCCTGCCTCTGCCTAACTCCGTGCGTGCGTCACTCCACGCATCACTCTCTCGCAACTCCGTGGCTCCCTCCGTGCACGTGCCCTCTACACGTGCCCTCTGCACGTGCCCTCTGGGCGTGCCCTCTGCACGTGCCCTCTGGGCGTGCCCCATGCACGTGCCCTCTGGGCGTGCCCTCTACACGTGCCCTCTGGGCGTGCCCCATGCACGTGCCCTCTGGGCGTGCCCTCTACACGTGCCCTCTGCACGTGCCCTCTGCACGTGCCCTCTGGGCGTGCCCTCTGTGCTTGCCCTCTGTGCTTGCCCTCTGCACGTGCCCTCTGGGCGTGCCCTCTACACGTGCCCTCTGCACGTGCCCTCTGTGCTTGCCCTCTACACGTGCCCTCTGTGCTTGCCCTCTACACGTGCCCTCTGCACGTGCCCTCTGTGCTTGCCCTCTACACGTGCCCTCTACACGTGCCCTCTGCGCTTGCCCTCCGCGTGACCGCGATGCCCTGCAGCTGCCGCCACTGCCGTTGGGCCCGGGGCCGCGGGCGTCTCGCGGGCAGCTCGGCCTCGCCGGCTGGGATAGCGGAGCCCCGAGCACGATTACACCGTGTGGCTGAACTCTCCCCTTGTGGCTGAACTCTCCCCTTGTGGCTGAACTCTCCCCTTGTGGCTGAACTCTCCCCTTGTGGCTGAACTCTCCCCTTGTGGCTGAACTCTCCCCTTGTGGCTGAACTCTCCCCTTGTGGCTGAACTCTCCCCTTGTGGCTGAACTCTCCCCTTGTGGTTGAACTCTCCCCTTGTGGCTGAACTCTCCCCGTGTGGCTGAACTCTCCCCTTGTGGCTGAACTCTCCCCTTGTGGTTGAACTCTCCCCTTGTGGCTGAACTCTCCCCGTGTGGCTGAACTCTCCCCTTGTGGCTGAACTCTCCCCTTGTGGTTGAACTCTCCCCTTGTGGTTGAACTCTCCCCGTGTGGCTGAACTCTCCCCGTGTTGTTGAACTCTCCCCTTGTGACTGAACTCTCCCCGTGTGGTTTAACTCTCCCCGTGTTGTTGAACTCTCCCCGTGTGGTTGAACTCTCCCCGTGTGGTTGAACTCTCCCCTTGTGGTTGAACTTTCCCCTTGTGGCTGAACTCTCCCCTTGTGGCTGAACTCTCCCCTTGTGGCTGAACTCTCCCCTTGTGGCTGAACTCTCCCCTTGTGACTGAACTCTCCCCTTGTGGATGAACTCTCCCCTTGTAGTTGAACTCTCCCCTTGTGACTGAACTCTCCCCTTGTGGATGAACTCTCCCCTTGTGACTGAACTCTCCCGTGTTGTTGAACTCTCCCCGTGTTGCTGAACTCTCCCCGTGTGGTTGAACTCTCCCCTTGTGGTTGAACTCTCCCCGTGTTGTTGAACTCTCCCCGTGTGGTTGAACTCTTGCAGCCCGGCCGGCGGCGTCCGCGTGGGGCTGAGGCCGATCGCCAAGGAGCCCTCGGCCAGAAATCCTCGCAGGCACTTCACTGCGTCGTCGCCCAGGGCAAGCGACAACATCGCACACGCGTCCCGTCGTCGCCGCCGTCACCACCACCACCACCACCGTCGTCACCGCCACCATCACCACCACCGTCGCCACCGTCACCACCACCACCATCGTCACCGCCACCGTCACCATCACCATCATCACCACCGTCGTCACCGCCGTCATCACCGCCGTCGTCACCACCACCACCGTCGTCACTGCCACCATCACCACCCCTACCATCGTCACCACCATCGTCACCATCACCGTCATCACCACCGTCGTCACTGCCACCGCCACCGTCACCACCACCACCACCACCGTCGTCGTCACCGCCATCGTCGCCACCACCTCCGTCGTCACTGCCACCATCACCACCACTACCATCGTCACCACCATCATCACCACCACCATCGTCACCACCATCGTCACTGCCATCCTCACCACCACCATCGTCACCACCATCATCACCACCACCACCATCTTCACCGCCATCGTCACTGCCATCCTCACCACCACCATCGTCACCACCGTCACCACCGCCGTCGTCACCACCGTCAACATCACCGTGGTCAACATCGCCTGCAGTATTCCACATCACACACACCAACTTCACCATCGCCACCATCACCACAACAGTTACCATGGTCAAAATTGCCACCATCGCAGTCGGCATCATCATCATCATCAACACAGTCATCACCGTCACATTCTCAACATCATCACCACCATCAATGATACATTCAACATCATCGTCACCATTGTCAGCAGTGAACATCATCGTCATGATCATCATTGTCAACATCGTCATCATTGTCAACATCGTCATCATTGTCAACATCATCATCATCACAGACACCATGACCACCATCACCACCACCACCACAACAGCCAACATCACTGCCTGCCTGTTTGCATGCCTACGTGTCCATGCATGCGTATGCCATGTGCCTGCGTGTGACCGTATGATGTTTGTCTGTGTGTGCAGCCAGTACAGCTCATCGCAGGAACACCACCGGTCCGCGGAATGTTTGACAACTTCGCAATACAGGTGCGGTGTGTGCGTGTGTGTGTGCGTGTGTGCGTGTGCGTGTGTGCGTGTGCGTGCATGTGCGTGTGTGCGTGTGCGTGCATGTCGTAGCTGTTAGCGTACCGCGCTGCGAACCCGGCCACCCGAGTTCGATTCCCGCTCACGGCCAACACCGGTGACGATCAATTGAACCGGTCCTGGGCCTCCGCTAGGTCGACTCGGCCTCAAATGAGTACCTGGTGTCGCGGTGTGTAGTAAACATCGCTACCGGGGAGTCTGGCCACCCACCCCCTCGTGTGCCTTGCCGGCTGTCATAGGTGCTGGCTAACAGCACTTGCCCCAACAGCCTGTTAAGGCTACACAGGGGGTCTTTTTCTTTGTGCGAGTGTGTGAGAGTGCTGATATTGAGAAGAGCTAAAGGCAGATGGTGATGGTAGTGATGACACGGATGATGATGATGGTGATGATGCAGATGGTGGTGATGGTATTGAATGCACAGATGAAAGCGATGTTATTGAATGTACACATGGTGCTGATGACGGAAGGAAGAGCGACGGCTTAGCCACTGACTCCCTGCCCCCGCCCCCCTGCAGCTACCGCTGGGGGCCTCCGGCCCCGGGCGGACCGTGGCCCTGCAGCCGGCGCCGCCCCCGGCCCTCCCTCCACCGACACCCTTCTGTGGCCCGGTGGGGCCCGTCCAGCGGGTATCCCCGCGGCCCCTCCGCGCCATCCTGCCCGCCGTGGCCACCGCGGTGCCAGCCGCCACGCCCGCCCCCGTGCCCACCGCCGCGCCCGGTGAGGCCGGGTCGTCCTTACCGGCAGCCCCCGCACGCGGACACGCACGTAGTTCCGTTGCATGCAGCTCGGTTCAATTGCTTGTACTCGGTTGCATGCAGCCAACTCGGTGGCATGCAACGTACGAGCAGCTCGGTTGCATGCAACGTGTAAGCAACTCAGTTGCATTCAACCGAGTCGCCCGAAACGTGGCCCTCCCTGCAGCAGCCGAACAACTCGTGCAACCGGCCGGCTGCTGCTGCTGCTGCTGCTCCGAGTCCCACGCGATGGACGCTGCTCTCCGGACCTTAGCCACGTTGTGCAACCGCGATTGGTTGTTACGATCCTGATGTGCGAGTGTGGTGGGGTGGTGGGGCTTGGTGGGTGGGGTGGTGGTGAGGGTGGTGGGTGGGGTGGTGGGTGGGGTGGTGGGTGGGGTGGTGGGTGGGGTGGTGGGTGGGGTGGTGGTGAGGGTGGTGAGGGTGGTGGGTGGGGTGGTGGGTGGGGTAGTGGGGAGTGTTGGGGACGATCTAGCCACGCTCCCCATCGTTCGCACGTGGACGGAGCAAGTTTGCGGGTGGACGGGTGGACGGGTGGACGGGCGGTGCAGCTGCCGGTGCCGTGAGCCCGCGCCGTCGATCGCAGCCTCCCGGCGGCTGCGTCACGCTCGCGATGCCCCTCCCCCTCCCCCCCGCAGGTCCCGCCGCCACTTCCTCCGCCCCGCCCGCCGCCGCCGCCGCCGCCGCCGGAGTCGCCGCCGGAGTCGCCTTCGTCCAGTTCATCGCCGTTCCCGGCCCCCGCTGCTCGGCAGAGGGGGGGGTTCTGGTGGCGGGCGGCGGGGGTGGGGGCGGCGGGGGCCGCCCGGGAGAGACGCCCCCCACGGCGGGGGGCTCGGCCCCCCTCGCGGCCACCCTGGTCTCCCTGCCCCAGCAGCAGCAGCAGCAGCAGCAGATCGCCGCTGCGTTGGCGGTGCAGCCGGCCCCGCCACAAGCGGGCCTCAAAGCCAGCACCCTGAAGCAGCTGGGGCAGGCGGGGGTGAGAGAAGGGGGGGGGCGACGCACGCACTTGTGGTTTGCGTCCGCGTGTGTGTGTGCGTGTGTGTGCGTGTGTGTGTGCGTGTGTGTGCGTGTGTGTGTGCGTGTGTGTGTGTGTGTGCGTGTGTGTGCGTGTGTGTGCGTGTGCGCGCGTGTGTGTGCGTGTGTGTGTGTGTGTGTGCGTGTGTGCGCGTGTGTGTGCGTGTGTGTGTGTGTGTGCGTGCGTGTGCGTGTGTGTGCGTGTGTGTGCGTGTGTGCGCGCGTGTGTGCGCTTGTGGTCCGGCAAAATAACCCCCTAACTCCTCGTGGTGCCGGACGCCAACGCTGTGGTGGGTAGTGCCGTAATGGCACCACAGCGGCCAAATGGGGCTCTGGACTGGTACGAGGGGCCGGTAACCCCTCCACCTTCAAGTAACTATCACTAAACTACGATGCAAAAAACGTATTAAGCTTGTGCCGGAGGCCCCAGGTGGACAGGCGTCTATGACGGAGCCAGGGGGATTGAATCATTACCCTCGGGGCTCTTCCAGAAACAACAAAAAGCCACTTCGGCTGGCCACGTGGAATGTTCGAATGCTCACTGCGGAGTAGAGGCTGCCACTCCTCTGTTGGGAGCTGGACCGGTACCGCCTGGATCTCTCTGGTATTCAGAAGGTACGGAGGACTGACTCTGGCTCCTGCCACGATGAGGGGTGGACATTCCTCTACTCGGGGCAGGAGACTGCTAAATAATAGAGAGTGGCTATTCTTCTGAACAAAAGAATGAAGGGGGCGTGGGAGCATGGCGGTGAGTTATGGGAAGCTGTAAGCCACAGGCTACTTTGGGCTCGCCTTCCCATCAACCGGAGGCGAGGAGTGGTGGTCGTGGTTACTTATGCCCCCACCGAAGACGAACATCCGTGGAGGGATGCAGGCAAGGCCGATGAGTCGGATGCCTTCTATGACCACCTGTCACAGGTGCTGGCTAAAGTGGCCCCTTGGGATAGAGTCATCTTGTTGGGTGACTTCAATGACCGAGTTGATCATGGTGCTGGCACCTGATTTGGAGTGATGGCCAGATCAGCTCAATAACAACGGTGGGAAGCCCATGGGCTTGTAATTACCAACACGTTCCGGCATCGGTGCATCCACACAACATCATGGATGCATGTCGGGTCCAAGCAAGAACATCTGCTGGACTACATAGTGATGGAACAGCGGATGCGAGCCCATGTCCTTGACACCAGGACCTACCGTGGAGCTGATCTGCTCACTGTTCGATTCCCCCTCACGGCCAACACCGGTGACGATTATCTGAACCGGTCCTGGGCCTCCCTTAGGTCGACTCAGCCTCAAATGAGTACCTGGGTTCAACATCGCCACTGGGGAGGCCGGGCGTGCTGCTGGCCACCCACCCCCTCGTGCGCCGCGCCGGCCTTCGTAGGCACTGTTCGCTAACAGCACTTGCCCCGACAGTCTATTAAGGCTACACGGGGGATCTTTGTCTTCGTCTTTGTTGGTGCAGACTGGTGGGGAGGGCGCGCAGGTGGAGGAGGGCAACTTTGGCACCCTCGTCCAAGCGCACCATCGCTTGCATCACCCCTTTGTGAGTCCACCCACACTGGGTAACACTCCTCCCCGCCATCGCCGCCACCACTGCCACCACCGCCATCGCCACCACCGCCACCACCGCCATCGCCACAACAGCCACCACCGCCGCTCATTCTCCTTCTCTCCCAACCCCCCACCCGTTAACCGCACCCACCAACCACGTCAGTGGAGTAAGCGCACACGGTGCACAAGCTCGATCAATCTCGTGCGATCAGGTGCTCTGTACGTATGTAACCGCGTACTCCAGCGCTTGACACCACGTACTCGTGTCCCCCCGCGTGCCCGCGGCTGTCCCCGTGCGCCGCTCCTGTCAGGAGCTGGGCCTGGCCACGTCACGGGGCAAGGGCCACTGCAAGAGCCCGGGCTGCGGTTTTGTCTACATGAACCGGCACAAGCCTCTCGCCTGCCCCAAGTGCGGTGCCGCCCTGCGCTCGCAGTCTCGAAGGGCCCTCCGCTCGCAGGTAAATCACACGTGGCCGCACGCAGGGGCAGCCGCTTGCAGGGGCAGCCGCTTGCAGGGGTAGCCGCTTGCAGGGGTAGCCGCTTACAGGGGCAGCCGCTTGCAGGGGTAGCCGCTTACAGGGGCAGCCGCTTGCAGGGGCAGCCGCTCGCAGCCACTCGCAGGCAACCGCACGCACGTAGCCTCGCAGGGTTTTTGTCCGGTGGCTGTGGTGAGTGATGAGGATCGGTGATGAATGACGATGGCTGTGATGAGGATTGATGATGCATGGTGATGAAGACTGTGATGGTGATGATGATGAATACTGTGATGATGATGATGATGAAGACTGTGATGATGATGATGGAGACTGTGATGATGATGAAGACTATGATGATGATGATGAAGACTGTGATGAGTGAACAATGGCTGTGATGAGGATTGGTGATGAATGACGATGGCTGTGATGAGGATTGATGATGCGTGGTGATGATGATGATGAAGACTGTGATGATGATGATGATGAAGACTGTGATGATGATGATGAAGACTGTGATGATGATGATGAAGACTGTGATGATGATGATGATGATTAAGACTGTGATGATGATGAAGACTGTGATGATGATGATGATGAAGACTGATGATGATGAAGACTGTGATGATGATGATGATGATGAAGACTGTGATGATGATGATGATGAAGACTGTGATGATGATGATGATGAAGACTGTGATGATGATGATGATGATGAAGACTGTGATGATGATGATGAAGACTGTGATGATGATGATGAAGACTGATGATGATGATGAAGACTGTGATGATGATGATGAAGACTGTGATGATGATGATGAAGACTGTGATGATGATGATGATGAAGACTGTGATGATGATGATGATGAAGACTGTGATGATGATGATGAAGACTGTGATGATGATGATGATGAAGACTGTGATGATGATGAAGACTATGATGATGATGATGACTGTGATGATGATGATGATTATGAAGACTGATGATGATGATGAAGACTGATGATGATGATGAAGACTGATGATGATGATGAAGACTGTGATGATGATGATGAAGACTTTGATGATGATGATGAAGACTGTGATGGTGATGATGATGAAGACTGTGATGATGATGATGATGAAGACTGTGATGATGATGATGAAGACTGTGATGATGATGAAGACTATGATGATGATGATGAAGACTTTGATGAGTGAACAATGGCTGTGATGAGAATTGGTGATGAATGACGATGGCTGTGATGAGGATTGATGATGCGTGGTGATGATGATGATGACTGTGATGATGATGATGAAGACTGTGATGATGATGATGATGAAGACTGTGATGATGATGATGAAGACTGTGATGATGATGATGATTAAGACTGTGATGATGATGAAGACTGTGATGATGATGATGATGAAGACTGATGATGATGATGAAGACTGTGATGATGATGATGATGAAGACTGTGATGATGATGATGAAGACTGTGATGATGATGATGAAGACTGTGATGATGATGATGAAGACTGTGATGATGATGAAGACTGTGATGATGATGATGAAGACTGATGATGATGATGATGATGAAGACTGTGATGATGATGAAGACTGTGATGATGATGATGATGAAGACTGTGATGATGATGATGAAGACTGTGATGATGATGAAGACTGTGATGGTGATGATGATGATGAAGACTGTGATGATGATGATGAAGACTGTGATGATGATGATGAAGACTGTGATGATGATGAAGACTATGATGATGATGATGAAGACTGTGATGATGATGATGATGAAGACTGATGATGATGATGAAGACTGATGATGATGATGAAGACTGATGATGATGAAGACTGTGATGATGATGATGATGAAGACTGTGATGATGATGATGATGAAGACTGTGATGATGATGATGATGAGGACTGTGATGATGATGATGAACACTGTGATGATGATGAAGACTGTGATGGTGATGATGTTGAACACTGTGATGATGATGATGATGATGAAGACTGTGATGATGAGTGAAAGCAATGGCTGTGATGGGGATCAGTGATGAATGACGATGGTTGTGACGACGACGACGACGGCCGTGACGAGGTTCCGTGACGAGGTTCCGTGACGAGGTTCCGTGACGACCGTGACGAGGTTCCGTGACGAGTACCGACGACCACGGGCGACTTCATCCGCGATGCCGCCTCGCTGCTCGCCAGGCCCAGCCCTGCTACGACGAGGTGCTCGAGGCCGTGGCCCGCGCCGACGAGGCGGCCCTGGCCGACGACGCCGAGCCCGCGGGCGACGAGGAGGACCGCGGGGACGCGGTCGCCGTGACGATGATGATGACCGCGGAGGGGGCGGGGGAGGAGGGGGCGCCGGAAGCGGGGGAGGCGGCGGCTGGGCCCGGCGCGCGACCTCTGGCCGACCCCGGCCGCCCCCTCACGGCACAGCAGCGCGTGGTGCAGCGGCGGAGCACCGTCGCTCTGCTGCGCCGCTCGCTGCACATTCCCGAATCCGAGGCGGAGCTGGCCCCCGCTCTGGCACGCGTGGCGCTCAGGTGACCGGTGTCTCCGTGTGGTCCGCCCGTGTCTCCCCGTGTCCCCCAGGCGTCTCCTCTTCACTCTGTCTCTTCCGCCGTGTCTCCATGTGTCTCCCCCGTGTCCCCCAGTCTCGCCGCTTTGCTCTGTCTCTTCACACACAGGCTCCCCCCTGTCTCCCCATCGCTACGTGTCTCTTCACACACACGTCTCCCCCGTGTCTCCCCCGTGTCTCCCCCATGTCTCCTTATCACTACGTGTCTCTTCACACACACGTCTCCCCCGTGTCTCCCCCGTGTCTCCCCCATGTCTCCTTATCACTACGTGTCTCTTCACACACACGTCTCCCCCGTGTCTCCCTATCACTCCATGTCTCTTCACACACGTCTCCCCCGTGTCTCCCCCGGGTCTCCCCCGTGTCTCCCTATCACTCCGTGTCTCTTCACACACACGTCTCCCCCGTGTCTCCCCCGTGTCTCCCCCGTGTCTCCCTATCACTCCGTGTCTCCCTATCACTCCGTGTCTCCCCCGTGTCTCCCCCGTGTCTCCCTATCACTCCGTGTCTCTTCACACACGTCTCCCCCATGTCTCCTTATCACTCCGTGTCTCTTCACACACGTCTCTGTCCCGTGTCTCCCCATCACTCCGTGTCTCTTCACACACGTCTCCGCCGTGTCTCCCCCGTGTCTCTCCGTGTCTCCCTATCACTCCGTGTCTCCCCGTGTCTCCCCCGTGTCTCCCCATCGCTGTGTCTCTTCAAGCACGTCTCTCCGTGTCTCCCCCGTGTCTTCCCATCGCTCCGTGTCTCTTCACACACGTCTCCCCCGTGTCTCCCCCGTGTCTCCCCATCGCTACGTGTCTCTTCACACACGTCTCCCCGTGTCTCCCTATCACTCCATGTCTCCCCCGTGTCTCCCCGTGTCTCCCCGTGTCTCCCCCGTGTCTCCCCGTGTCTCCCTATCACTCCATGTCTCCCCCGTGTCTTTCCGTGTCTCTTCACACACGTCTCCCCATGTCTCCCCGTGTCTCCCCGTGTCTCCTTATCACTCCGTGTCTCCCCATCGCTCCGTGTCTCTTCACACATGTCTCCCCGTGTCTCCCCCGTGTCTCCCCGTGTCTCCCCCGTGTCTCCCCCGTGTCTCCCCCCGTGTCTCCCCCGTGTCTCCCCGTGTCTCCCCCGTGTCTCCCCCCGTGTCTCCCCCGTGTCTCCCCCGTGTCTCCCCCGTGTCTCACCCGTGTCTCCCCCGTGTCTCCCCCGTGTCTCCCCCGTGTCTCCCCCGTGTCTCCCCCGTGTCTCTCCCGTGTCTCCCCCCGTGTCTCCCCCGTGTCTCCCCCGTGTCTCTCCCGTGTCTCCCCCGTGTCTCCCCCGTGTCTCCCCCGTGTCTCTCCCGTGTCTCCCCCCGTGTCTCCCCCGTGTCTCCCCCGTGTCTCCCCCGTGTCTCCCCCGTGTCTCTCCCGTGTCTCCCCCCGTGTCTCCCCCGTGTCTCCCCCGTGTCTCTCCCGTGTCTCCCCCGTGTCTCCCCCGTGTCTCCCCCGTGTCTCCCCCGTGTCTCCCCCGTGTCTCACCCGTGTCTCCCCCGTGTCTCCCCCGTGTCTCCCCCGTGTCTCCCCCGTGTCTCCCCCGTGTCTCTCCCGTGTCTCCCCCGTGTCTCCCCCGTGTCTCCCCCGTGTCTCCCCCGTGTCTCCCCCGTGTCTCACCCGTGTCTCCCCCGTGTCTCCCCTGTGTCTCCCCCGTGTCTCCCCCGTGTCTCACCTGTGTACCACCTGTGTCTCCCCCGTGTCTCTCCCGTGTCTCCCCCGTGTCTCCCCCGTGTCTCCCCCGTGTCTCCCCCGTGTCTCCCCCGTGTCTCCCCCGTGTCTCACCCGTGTCTCCCCCGTGTCTCACCCGTGTCTCTCCCGTGTCTCCCCCGTGTCTCCCCCGTGGCTCCCCTGTGTCTCCCCCGTGTCTCACCTGTGTCTCCCCCGTGCCTCACCTGTGTCTCTCCCGTGTCTCCCCCGTGTCTCCCCTGTGTCTCCCCTGTGTCTCCCCCGTGTCTCCCCCGTGTCTCCCCCGTGTCTCCCCCGTGTCTCCCCCGTGTCTCACCCGTGTCTCCCCCGTGTCTCCCCCGTGTCTCCCCCGTGTCTCCCCCGTGTCTCCCCCGTGTCTCCCCCGTGTCTCCCCCGTGTCTCACCCGTGTCTCCCCCGTGTCTCCCCCGTGTCTCCCCCGTGTCTCCCCCGTGTCTCCCCCGTGTCTCCCCCGTGTCTCCCCCGTGTCTCCCCCCGTGTCTCCCCCCGTGTCTCCCCCGTGTCTCCCCCCGTGTCTCCCCCGTGTCTCCCCGTGTCTCCCCCGTGTCTCCCCCGTGTCTCCCCCGTGTCTCCCCCGTGTCTCCCCCGTGTCTCCCCCGTGTCTCCCCCGTGTCTCCCCCCGTGTCTCCCCCCGTGTCTCCCCCGTGTCTCCCCCCGTGTCTCCCCCGTGTCTCCCCGTGTCTCCCCCGTGTCTCACCCGTGTCTCCCCCGTGTCTCCCCCGTGTCTCCCCCGTGTCTCCCCCGTGTCTCCCCCGTGTCTCCCCCGTGTCTCCCCCGTGTCTCCCCCGTGTCTCCCCCGTGTCTCCCCGTGTCCCAGAGACGCAGCGACCTCCCGGGCCGAGGCCTCCTCGTGCACGGTGGAGGAGGGGAAAGAGGCGGGTGAGGAGGAGGAGGTGGGGGGGGAGGAGGTGGAGGAGGAGGAGGTGGAGGAGGTGGTGCTGCTGGAGGAGGAGGGGGGGGGGCCTGGTTCTCCACCGTGCCGGGGGGGAGGGTCCTGGCTGGGCCCTCGGCTACGGCCCCTCCGCTCACCTGTGCCAGCTTTGTGGCACCTGGCTCAGCAGCGTGGACAGGTGGGGGGAGTGGGGGGGGGGAGTGGGGGGTGGGGGGAGTGGGTGGGGGGGAGTGGGGGAGGGAGTGGGTGGGGGGAGTGGGTGGGGGGAGTGGGGGGTGGGGGGAGTGGGGGGGGGAATGGGTGGGGGGTGAGGGGAGTGGGTGGGGGGAGTGGGGGGAGTGGGTGGGGGGTGAGGGGAGTGGGGGGAGTGGGTGGGGAGAGTGGGTGGGGAGAGTGGGTGGGGAGAGTGGGTGGGGAGAGTGGGTGGGGAGAGTGGGTGGGGGGAGTGGGTGGGGGGAGTGGGTGGGGGGAGTGGGTGGGGGAGTGGGTGGGGGGAGTGGGTGGGGGGCGAGGGGAGTGGAACGGGAGTGGGGGGAGTGGGGGGGTTGGGGGGGTGAGTGGCTTGGGGGGGGGGAGTGTGAGGGGAGTGTCTCCAGTGTCCCCGTGTAGCCCCCGGCTCGTCCCCCCCCGTGTGTCTCCGCGTGTCTCCGCGTGTCTCCGCGTGTCTCCGCGTGTCTCCGCGTGTCCCCAGGTCCATGCTGGGTCTGGACGAGGATTGCTGGCTGCTTTCGTCCTGCCACCTCCTGCGTGTGTCCGCCGTGGTGAAGATGTGTCTCGAGCCTTCTTGCCTCGCTCTGCACGGCTTCTGTGACATCAACTCTGGTGAGGAGCGATCACCACCCCCCCCACCCCCCCCCAACCAACATCGTGGCGGTCGCTCACCCATGCACACCCGCTCACTCACCCACCCGCTCGCTCACCCACTCACTCACCCACCCGCTCGCTCACCCACTCACTCACCCACTCACTCACCCGCTCACTCACCCACCCGCTCGCTCACCCACTCACTCACTCGCTCGCTCACCCACTCACTCACCCACTTACCCACCCACTCACTCACCCACCCACTCACTCACCCACTCGCTCACTCACCCACCCGCTCGCTCACCCACTCACTCACCCACTCACTCACCCACTTACCCACCCGCTCACTCACCCACCCGCTCGCTCACCCACGCACTCACCCACTTACCCACCCGCTCACTCACTCACCCGCTCGCTCACCCACCCGCTCGCTCACCCAATTACCCACCCGCTCACTCACCCACCCGCTCACCCACTTACCCACCCGCACGCTCACCCACTCGCTCGCTCACCCACCCGCTCGCTCACCCACCCGCTCGCTCACCCGCTTGCTCACTCGCTCACTCACTCGCTCGCCCACCCGCTCACTCAACCACTTACCCATCCGCTCGCTCACCCACCCGCTCACTCACCCATTTACCCACCCGCTCACTCACCCACCTGCTCACTTGCTCACTCACCGACCCACTCACCCGGTCATCCACACGCTCGCTCACTCACTCACTCGCTTACTCAAACATTCTAACACACGCTCACTCACCCGCTCACTCACATACTGATGGTGGGGAAGTCCGTTACGTAGTTGATGATATATATTCTTGGTTCTTTCGGTAAAGTCACGTAGAAGGGAAACAATAAAATAATACAAATATTAAACAATATTCTCACGACGTTTCGACTGCAACACAAGCAAGCAATCACCATCAGGCGTGAAAACCACAGCAAGAAAATTTGAAAAAAATCGCGTTTTTTTAACGTTAGCACCACGGAGAGCGATTTGGCAGTTATTCAGATGGACGAGTCCATCTATGTTCGGAAAAGAGGAGGGGGGAGACTAAAATAATGGATGCGGTCTGAAAGCCACCGTAAGCGTGAACAATTAAGACCCGAAATGGTTTATCAAATCCTTCCAATGATTGCTAAGCCAGAGTCCATCTTCTCGGTTGAAATTGTCTCTGTGTTTGTATATGTGGATAGCCTCATGAACGAATCTCTCATGGTAGCCAGATGGCTTGCAAAGAACCTCTGTCTTGGAGAAGTCAATGTCATGTGAGCCTACTGAATTATAACAGGTCATCTGCCACGGCCGAGGTGTTGGTCCTACCGTGTTTTAGGTAGTTGATGATGTCGATGATGATGATGGTGATGTTCATGATGTCGGTGATGTTGATGTCGGTGATGGCGATGGTGGTGATGTCGGTGATGTCCTGCAGGGCTGTTTAACGTGGGCAACCGGCTGCTCGTGACCCTTGACCTCTTGCTGCACATACGTCAGCGTGTGCGTGACGGAGACAACCCCAGCGACACAGCCCGGGAGATCGTGCACGCCGCCGGTACACCGCATCTCAGTGTGTCTCCGTGTGTCCCCTCCGTGTGTCCCCTCCGTGTGTCTCCTCCGTGTGTCTATGCCGCGTGTCTGCAGCGTGTCTCCTCCGTGTGTCACCGTGTGTCTCCGTGTCCCAGTGTGTCTCCATGTCTCTGTGTCTCTGTGCCCCAGCGTCTCTGTGTCCCACTGTCCCACTGTCTCTGTGTCTCAGTGTCTCTGTGTCCCACTGTCCCCATCGTCTCTGTGTCCCACAGTCTCTGTGTCCCACAGTCTCTGTGTCTCAGTGTCTCTGTGTCTCTGTGTCCCACTGTCCCACTGTCTCTGTGTCTCAGTGTCTCTCTGTCCCACTGTCTCCGTGTCCCACTGTCCCACTGTCCCCGTGTCCCACTGTCCCCGTGTCCCACTGTCCCCGTGTCCCACTGTCCCACTGTCCCCGTGTCCCACTGTCCCTGTGTCCCACTGTCCCACTGTCTCCGTGTCCCACTGTCCCCGTGTCCCACTGTCCCCGTGTCCCACTGTCTCCGTGTCCCACTGTCCCCACTGTCCCCGTGTCCCACTGTCCCCGTGTCCCACTGTCCCACTGTCCCACTGTCTCCGTGTCTCCGTGTCCCACTGTCCCACTGTCCCACTGTCCCACTGTCTCCGTGTCCCCGTGTCCCACTGTCCCACTGTCCCCGTGTCCCACTGTCCCCGTGTCCCACTGTCCCACTGTCCCCGTGTCCCACTGTCCCCGTGTCCCACTGTCCCACTGTCCCCGTGTCCCACTGTCCCACTGTCCCACTGTCTCCGTGTCCCCGTGTCCCCGTGTCCCACTGTCCCACTGTCTCCGTGTCCCACTGTCCCACTGTCCCCGTGTCCCCACTGTCCCCGTGTCCCACTGTCCCACTGTCCCCGTGTCCCACTGTCCCCGTGTCCCACTGTCTCCGTGTCCCCGTGTCCCACTGTCCCACTGTCCCACTGTCTCCGTGTCCCACTGTCTCCGTGTCCCACTGTCCCCGTGTCCCACTGTCCCCGTGTCCCACTGTCCCACTGTCTCCGTGTCCCCGTGTCCCACTGTCTCCGTGTCCCACTGTCTCCGTGTCCCCGTGTCCCACTGTCCCCGTGTCCCACTGTCCCCGTGTCCCACTGTCCCCGTGTCCCACTGTCCCACTGTCTCCGTGTCCCACTGTCCCCGTGTCCCACTGTCCCCGTGTCCCACTGTCTCCGTGTCCCACTGTCCCCACTGTCCCCGTGTCCCACTGTCCCCGTGTCCCACTGTCCCACTGTCCCACTGTCTCCGTGTCACCGTGTCCCACTGTCCCACTGTCCCACTGTCCCACTGTCTCCGTGTCCCCGTGTCCCACTGTCCCACTGTCCCCGTGTCCCACTGTCCCCGTGTCCCACTGTCCCCGTGTCCCACTGTCCCCGTGTCCCACTGTCCCACTGTCCCCGTGTCCCACTGTCCCACTGTCCCACTGTCCCACTGTCTCCGTGTCCCCGTGTCCCACTGTCCCACTGTCCCACTGTCTCCGTGTCCCACTGTCCCACTGTCCCCGTGTCCCCACTGTCCCCGTGTCCCACTGTCCCACTGTCCCGGTGTCCCACTGTCCCCGTGTCCCACTGTCTCCGTGTCCCCGTGTCCCACTGTCCCACTGTCCCACTGTCTCCGTGTCCCACTGTCCCCGTGTCCCACTGTCCCCGTGTCCCACTGTCCCACTGTCTCCGTGTCCCCGTGTCCCACTGTCTCCATGTCCCACTGTCTCCGTGTCCCCGTGTCCCACTGTCCCCGTGTCCCACTGTCCCCGTGTCCCACTGTCCACGTGTCCCACTGTCCCACTGTCTCCGTGTCCCACTGTCCCCGTGTCCCACTGTCCCCGTGTCCCACTGTCTCCGTGTCCCACTGTCCCCACTGTCCCCGTGTCCCACTGTCCCCGTGTCCCACTGTCCCACTGTCCCACTGTCTCCGTGTCTCCGTGTCCCACTGTCCCACTGTCCCACTGTCCCACTGTCTCCGTGTCCCCGTGTCCCACTGTCCCACTGTCCCCGTGTCCCACTGTCCCCGTGTCCCACTGTCCCACTGTCCCCGTGTCCCACTGTCCCACTGTCCCACTGTCTCCGTGTCCCCGTGTCCCCGTGTCCCACTGTCCCACTGTCTCCGTGTCCCACTGTGCCACTGTCCCCGTGTCCCCACTGTCCCCGTGTCCCACTGTCCCACTGTCCCCGTGTCCCCGTGTCCCCGTGTCCCACTGTCTCCGTGTCCCCGTGTCCCACTGTCCCACTGTCCCACTGTCTCCGTGTCCCACTGTCCCCGTGTCCCACTGTCCCCGTGTCCCACTGTCCCCGTGTCCCACTGTCCCCGTGTCCCACTGTCCCCGTGTCCCACTGTCCCCGTGTCCCACTGTCCCCGTGTCCCACTGTCCCCGTGTCCCACTGTCCCACTGTCCCCGTGTCCCACTGTCCCCGTGTCCCACTGTCCCACTGTCCCCGTGTCCCACTGTCCCACTGTCCCACTGTCTCCGTGTCCCCGTGTCCCCGTGTCCCACTGTCCCACTGTCTCCGTGTCCCACTGTCCCACTGTCCCCGTGTCCCCACTGTCCCCGTGTCCCACTGTCCCACTGTCCCCGTGTCCCACTGTCCCCGTGTCCCACTGTCTCCGTGTCCCCGTGTCCCACTGTCCCACTGTCCCACTGTCTCCGTGTCCCACTGTCCCCGTGTCCCACTGTCCCCGTGTCCCACTGTCCCACTGTCTCCGTGTCCCCGTGTCCCACTGTCTCCGTGTCCCACTGTCTCCGTGTCCCCGTGTCCCACTGTCCCCGTGTCCCACTGTCCCCGTGTCCCACTGTCCCCGTGTCCCACTGTCCCACTGTCTCCGTGTCCCACTGTCCCCGTGTCCCACTGTCCCCGTGTCCCACTGTCTCCGTGTCCCACTGTCCCCACTGTCCCCGTGTCCCACTGTCCCCGTGTCCCACTGTCCCCGTGTCCCACTGTCCCACTGTCCCACTGTCACCGTGTCTCCGTGTCCCACTGTCCCACTGTCCCACTGTCCCACTGTCTCCGTGTCCCCGTGTCCCACTGTCCCACTGTCCCCGTGTCCCACTGTCCCCGTGTCCCACTGTCCCCGTGTCCCACTGTCCCCGTGTCCCACTGTCCCACTGTCCCCGTGTCCCACTGTCCCACTGTCCCACTGTCTCCGTGTCCCCGTGTCCCCGTGTCCCACTGTCCCACTGTCCCACTGTCTCCGTGTCCCACTGTCCCACTGTCCCCGTGTCCCCGTGTCCCACTGTCCCACTGTCCCACTGTCTCCGTGTCCCACTGTCCCCGTGTCCCACTGTCCCCGTGTCCCACTGTCCCACTGTCTCCGTGTCCCCGTGTCCCACTGTCTCCGTGTCCCACTGTCTCCGTGTCCCCGTGTCCCACTGTCCCCGTGTCCCACTGTCCCCGTGTCCCACTGTCCCCGTGTCCCACTGTCCCACTGTCTCCGTGTCCCACTGTCCCCGTGTCCCACTGTCCCCGTGTCCCACTGTCTCCGTGTCCCACTGTCCCCACTGTCCCCGTGTCCCACTGTCCCCGTGTCCCACTGTCCCACTGTCCCACTGTCTCCGTGTCTCCGTGTCCCACTGTCCCACTGTCCCACTGTCCCACTGTCTCCGTGTCCCCGTGTCCCACTGTCCCACTGTCCCCGTGTCCCACTGTCCCCGTGTCCCACTGTCCCACTGTCCCCGTGTCCCACTGTCCCCGTGTCCCACTGTCCCACTGTCCCCGTGTCCCACTGTCCCACTGTCCCACTGTCTCCGTGTCCCCGTGTCCCCGTGTCCCACTGTCCCACTGTCTCCGTGTCCCACTGTGCCACTGTCCCCGTGTCCCCACTGTCCCCGTGTCCCACTGTCCCACTGTCCCCGTGTCCCCGTGTCCCCGTGTCCCACTGTCTCCGTGTCCCCGTGTCCCACTGTCCCACTGTCCCACTGTCCCCGTGTCCCACTGTCCCCGTGTCCCACTGTCCCCGTGTCCCACTGTCCCCGTGTCCCCGTGTCCCACTGTCCCCGTGTCCCACTGTCCCCGTGTCCCACTGTCCCCGTGTCCCCGTGTCCCACTGTCCCCGTGTCCCACTGTCCCCGTGTCCCACTGTCCCCGTGTCCCCGTGTCCCACTGTCCCCGTGTCCCACTGTCCCCGTGTCCCACTGTCCCCGTGTCCCCGTGTCCCACTGTCCCCGTGTCCCACTGTCTCCGTGTCCCACTGTCCCCCCCGTCCCGGCCTCTCCCTACCCCTGGCTTCCTGTGCGTCCGTGCATCTCTTCGCGCGTCTCCCCCCGTGCACCCCCCCCCCCCCCCCCCCCCCCCCCCCCCCCCCTAGGCGGCGGGTTCGGTCGCGGGGGGCCCCCGGGGGCCGAGCGGCCGCCCCCCGCCGCGCTGAGCGAGCTGCTGGCCGCCGGCTACTGGGCCTTCGAGAGCCTCACGGCGCGCGACTACAACGACATGATTTGTGGCGTGTGCGGGGTCGCCCCGCGTCTCGAGCTGGCGCAGCGTGGGGCCCACGGCCTCCTGGACCTCGACGACCTGGAGGTGGGGGGGCGGGGGGGGCGGGGGGGGGCGGGGGGGCAGGGGGGAAGACCAGCAGCAGTAGGGGGTATTGATGATGGTGATGGTGGTGGTTATAATGGCCGATGTCAGAGCTGGTGGTGGTGGATGCGGTGGCAAAGAAGGTGCTGGTGGCATCATCGTTGCCACCGCTATCACAACCACCACCACCACCATCATCATCTCATCACCACCACCATCACAACCACCACCATCATCGCCACGGCTATCACAACCACCACCACCGCCACCACCATCGCCACCGCTATCACAACCACCACCACTGCCACCATCATCACCACCGCTATCACAACCACCACCACCACCATCATCGCCACCGCTATCACAACCACCACCACCACCACCATCATCGCCACCGCTATCACAACCACCACCACTGCCACCATCATCGCCACCGCTATCACAACCACCACCACCAGCACCACCATCGCCCCCGCTATCACAACCACCACCACTGCCACCACCATCGCCCCCGCTATCACAACCACCACCACTGCCACCACCATCGCCCCCGCTATCACAACCACCACCACCGCCGCCATCATCATCGCCACTGCCATCACAACCACCACCACCGCCGCCATCATCATCGCCACCGCTATCACAACCACCACCACCATCACCGCCACCGCTATCACAACCACCACCACCGCCGCCATCATCATCGCCACCGCTATCACAACCACCACCACCATCACCGCCACCGCTATCACAACCACCACCACCGCCGCCATCATCATCGCCACCACCACCGCCACCATCATCGCCACTGCCATCACAACCACCACCACCGCCGCCATCATCATCACCACTGCTATCACAACCACCACCACCGCCGCCGCCATCATCATCTCATCACCACCACCGTCACAACCACTGCCGCCGCCGCCATCGCCATCGCCACCGCCGTAATCATTGCCATCACCGTCGCCGCCACCTGGACTCCGCCCGGCACCCTCCCCCTCACCGGCGCGTGTGCGTCAGCTCGTGTGGCCCGGCGAGGAGGGTGAGGCGAACGAGGTGGGCGGCGAGGAGGTGAGCGCCGACGACTTCTGGTCGCTCATGGAGACGGAGGCCCTGGAGGCCGCCGCCTTCCCCGGCGCCGCGGCCCCCCGGCTCGAGGCCGCGGCCGTCGCGCCGTTCATCCCGCCGCTCATGCGCGGGGCCCTCACCATCAACACGGAGAGGGACAAGGTGGAGCGGGGCCCCGCCAGCGGTGAGTCGCTCGCCACTCGCTCACTCGCTCACCACTCACTCGCTCACCACTCGCTCACCACTCGCTCACCACTCGTGCGCGGGGCCCTCACCATCAACATGGAGAGGGACAAGGTGGAGCGGGGCCCCGCCAGTGGTGAGTCGCTCGCCACTCGCTCACTCGCTCACCACTCACTCGCTCACCACTCGCTCACCACTCGCTCACCACTCGCTCGCCACTCGCTCGCTCGCTCACCACTCGCTCACCACGCGCTCACCACTCGCTCACCACTCGCTCGCTCGCTCACCACTCGCTCACCACTCGCTCACCACTCGCTCACCACTCGTGCGCGGGGCGCTCACCATCAACACGGAGAGGGACAAGGTGGAGCGGGGCCCCGCCAGCGGTGAGTCGCTCGCTCATCGCTCGCTCGCTCACCACTCGCTCACCACTCGCTCACCACTCGCTCACCACTCGCTCACTGCTCACTCACCACTCGCCCACCAATCATGTGGCACTCACTCGCCACTCGCTCACTCACCACTCACTCACCACTCACTCACCACTCAATCACCACCCACTCATCATTCATGCGTGGGTTCCTCACCATCAACACGGTGAGTCGCTCGCCACTCGCTCACCATTCGCTCGCTCACCATTCGCTCACTCACTCGCTGATACACTCACCATTCATGTCCCTGTATTAACGTGGGGCTGGCTGGGTGTGTAGGCCTCAAATGGGTACCCGGTGCAGTGTGCAGTAAACATCGCCACTGGGGAGACAAAGGCGGCCGGGCGTGGTGCTGGCCACCCCGCCCCGTTGCGTGACCTCGCCGGCCTTCATAGGCGGCGCTGCCGCTCGCTAACGGCAACTTGCCCCGACGGTCTGTCGAGGCTACGCGGGGGACCTTTGACTCGTGTGCGTGGGGGGGGTGGCGGCCAGGCTGTGCGGAGTCGTTGATGCGCCTGGTTCTGGCGGGGGAGCTGGACGTCGCCACCCTCCACAGCAGCCCCCGCGAGCGGCTGGAGGACGCCTGCCAGCGCTGCGGCCTGCCCTGCAGCGCCACACTCTCGCGGGTACCCGCCACCAGCGCCACCGCATAACCACCACCACCACATAACCACCACCACCACCACATAACCACCACCACCACCACATAACCACCACCACATAACCACCACCACCACCGCACGACTACCGGACAACTACCACCACCACCGCACGACTACCACCGTACACCCCGTGCATGTACCCGTGCGTGGCCCCGCAAGCCACCCCACATCTCCCCCCGTATGTCTCCCTGCGCATCCTCGCTCGCTTCCCCGCGTCACCCCGCGTCACCCCGCGTCACCCCGCGTGTCTCCCCGCGCGTGTCCCCCGTGCGTGTCTCCCCGCGCGTGTCTCCCCGTGCGTGTCCCCCCGTGCGTGTCTCCCCGCGCATGTCTCCCCGTGCGTGTCCCCCCATGCGTGTCTCCCCGTGCGTGTCTCCCCGCGCGTGTCTCCCCGCGCGTGTCTCCCCGCGCGTGTCTCCCCGCGCGTGTCTCCCCGCGCGTGTCTCCCCGCGCGTGTCTCCCCGTGCGTGTCTCCCCGCGCGTGTCCCCCCGTGCGTGTCTCCCCGCGCGTGTCTCCCCACGCGTGTCCCCCGTGCGTGTCTCCCCGCGCGTGTCTCCCCGCGCGTGTCTCCCCGCGCGTGTCTCCCCGCGCGTGTCTCCCCGTGCGTGTCTCCCCGTGCGTGTCCCCCCGTGCGTGTCTCCCCGCGCGTGTCTCCCCGCGCGTGTCTCCCCGCGCGTGTCTCCCCGCGCGTGTCTCCCCGTGAGCAGGAGGAGCTGTGCGTGTCGCTCGTGTGCCTCTACGCCTCGGTTCTGGACGGCGGTCGCCCCCCCGGCTCCGAGACGCTGGCCCGGCCATCGCACACGGGCGGCAAGATCTACAAAATGTGTCCCCACCAGGTACACCGGCTCCGGCAGTACCTGCAGCAGCTCCAGCAGTAGCAATGAGACCCACAGACTCGGTCTGACTGGCGGCTGTCGTCCCGACCTGAGTGAACTGCTTAGCCCGCTTCACCTTCCGTTTTCCACTGGCACATCGGAGCCTAGCCAGGGCCAGCACGGTACAGGTGTTTTTTTTCTTCCACTGGCACACCCGAGCCTAGCCAGGGCCAGCACGGTACAGGTGTTTTTTTTTCCACTGGCACACCCGAGCAAGCCAGGGCCAGTACGGTACAGGTGTTTTTTTTCCCACTGGCACATCCTAGCCAAGCCAGGGCCAGTACGGTACAGGTGTTTTTTTCCCACTGGCACATCCGAGCCAAGCCAGGGCCAGTACGGTACAGGTTTTTTTCTTTCCACTGGCACATCCGAGCCAAGCCAGGGCCAGCACGGTACAGGTTTTTTTTTTTCCACCGGCACATCTGAGCCGAGCCTGGACCAGCACGGTACAGGTTTTTTTTTTTCCACCGGCACATCTGTGCCGAGCCAGCGCCAGGACCAGCACACGGCACGGGTGTTTTTTTTTATTTTTTGTTGCTGCGCGGCCTCACAAGAAGACACCGAGACGGCTCGGCTCAGGCCTTGGCACGGCCCTCCGGTGTGGAAAATTTGAAAGTAACAAAAAGACTCGATCAGAGCGTTGCGTCTTCCCGTGTGTGCCCGACCCCAGGTGATCAGCGCATCCAAGTACCTGGTGCGTGCGGAGCGCGCCCGCGACCACGTGGACCTGCTCGTGTCGTGCCTCCACTGGCCGCCCGTCTACGTGAGCGACCTGGCGCGCGACGTCGCTCTCAACGTCGAGGCGCGCTACCCGGCCCTGGCCGCCCAGCTCTGGGGCCTCACGCAGGGATGCTTCAGCGACCCCTTCGCTCCGCCGCAGGTGGGTAGGTGGTGAGATGTTGACTGCCTCGCCTGGCATACAGGAGGTCGTGGGTTCGATTCCGACCCTGACGCCCGCTGCTGTATGTTTGGAGTTTGCGTGTCTCTGTCTCTTCGTGGTGAGATGTTGACTACCTCGCCTGGTCTACAGGAGGTCGTGGGTTCCATCCCGACCCTGACGCCTGCTGTATGTTTGGAGTTTGCGTGTCTCTCTCTCCGTGGTGAGATGTTAACTACCTCGCTTGGTCTACAGGAGGTCGTGGGTTCGATCCCGACCCTGACACCTGCTGTATGTTTGGAGTTTGCGTGTCTCTCTCTCTTTCTGTGGTCGTGTGGATTTTTCCCTCCACATTTCGAATCAACGTCTCGCATTTAGTATTTCCACTTGATGATGACGATGATAAGCCACTTCGTGGACTATCATTTGGGATAGCCAGGGTCGCTTCTAAAAAAGAGCTACGTAGCTCATTGGGGCCTTGACTGGTAATATAACAATAGTTGAGTTTTCGATTTTAAAAAATGTTCAGGTGATGATCGTGCAGCAAGTGACGTTGGCGATGGAGATGTCCGTGAAGGTGGTGGTTGTTTGTTGTCTCGGCCGATCGTCGTCATCATAGCGACGTTGGCTACGCCGCCCGGCTGCTATGCAGGCGGCACCGTCATCGTCACGATCATCATCACCGTCATTACCATCGTTTCCATCACTACCACCACTACCTTCATCATCACCACCATGATCACTACCATCATCTTCACCGCCACCACCGTCATCGAGACCGGCGCAAACGTCTCCGCCGCCAGGCCTCGTGCGGTGGAGTGTTGGCTGCTGCCTAACCGGTGGCCCCAGTCGCCTCGGCGACGGGGCTCTTGGAGAGCTCCCTTCCAGCGAGGGGGGCCCGGTCCCTCCCCTCCCGCCAGCGGGCGGCACTTGCCGGGGCCGCGCCTTTACCGCTCGACCCTCTCTGTGCCCGCGTGTGCCCACCCCCAGCTGGTCTCGTGCCCCGAGCTCCAGGAGCAGTGCTTCGCCGAAGATGACCCCTCGCCAGAGGGCAGCCTGGTGCACCCGGTTACGCGCTCCACTCGCCGCTGGGTGGCGCAGGCCCCACCGCCGACCGCAACAACCGCCGGGGACGCCGGCGACGGCGACGGCGACGGCGGCGGCGACGGCGACCCCGGCGGGCATCGGCCGCACCGCTCGCTGTCGGCGTGCCGGGAGCTGGAGCCGTACGACGCCGCGCTGGCCGGCCTGGACGCCTCCCCCGCGAGCGCCCGGCGCCGCTCGCGGCCCGCCCGCTTCTCGTCGGCGCCCCACTACTTCCTCTTCAGCCGCCTCTGCGATTTCCTGACGAGCCGCGACGTGGTGGCCCACCAGATCGGCGCCCTGCTCGCCGCGTGCCAACCGGGCCAGGTGCTCATCCGGGACTCCCTCTACCGCCTCGGCGTGGCGCAGCTGGAGGGGGACGTCGACGAAGGGGGGGAGGAGGAGGAGGCGGCGGAGGAGGCGGAAGAGGCGGAGGAGGCGGCGGAGGAGGCGGCGGAGGCGGCGGTCGCCGCGGACTTCGCGGGAGGAGACGGAGCGGCCGGGGACGATCCGGAGGGAGCGGACGACGTGAGGGGCGAGGGCGGCGGCGACGACGCCGGGGCGGCAGACGCGGCCACGGACGGGCACGGGGAGGCGGCGGCGGCGGCGCCAAATGGCGCCGCCGGGGAAGTCGCCACCGTTGTGGGAGGGGGCGGCGCCGGCGGTGGCGGCGTCGGCGGGGACATTGCGGCGGGTGCCGGAGACGGCGGCGGCGGCGGCGGCGGGGGGGCGGGGTGAGAGTGGAGTCGGTTGACGCCGGGAGGACCGAGCACGGGGAGGGACGAGAGCGGAGGGGTGCCGAGCGAGGGCACATAGGGGGGGACACGTGGCGCGGGACACGTGGCGCGGGACACGTGGCGCGGGACACGTGGCGCGGGACACGTGGCGCGGGACACGTGGCGCGGGACACGTGGCGCGGGACACGTGGCGCGGGACACGTGGCGAGGGACACGTGGCGAGGGACACGTGGCGAGGGACACGTGGCGAGGGACACGTGGCGCGGGACACGTGGCGAGGGACACGTGGCCTGGGACACTGGACACGGGACACGGCTGACGCACGCAACGGCAGTAAATCATCCGGAATCACCGCCGGGGGGTGGGGGAGCCGACCGTCGTCCCTGCTGCCGAGAGCCAACAGCTGCCGCGCGTACGCGGTGGCCGGCGTGTGAGTGCAGCAGCAGGAGTAGCCGGCGTGTGTGTGAGTGTGTGTGCGTGTGTGTGAGTGTGCAGCAGCAGGAGTAGCCGGTGTTGTGCAGCAGCCAATAAATGTCAGGGCGGCCCCCCGTGCTCCACCCGCATCTCGTTTGGTTCCTCCGCCCCCCCCCCCCAATCGCGCCCCTCTGGTCCCCCGCTCGCCTCTCTCCGCCGTGCTCCCAACTATCATTCGTTCCTATCGGTCGCCCCCCCCCAACCCCCCTCGGCCCCCCTCGCCCCCTCCTCCCCCCTCGCTCCCTCCTCCTCTCTCCGAGGCTCTTGGTGGTGGTGCAGCGGCGCTTGCCTTGCGTCGCCAGTGCGCTCGGGGTCCACAACCAGCGGGAGCACGTGGCACCATCGGGCCCTTCACATGGAACCACCCTAACCCGCCTAGCCAGCCACCCGCCCAGCCAGCCAGCCAGCCACCCAGCCAGCCACACACTCACCCAGCCACCCAGCCAGACAGCCACCCAGCCAGCCACACACTCACCCAGCCACCCAGCCAGCCAGCCAGCCACCCACTCACCCAGCCACACACTCACCCAGCCACACACTCACCCAGCCACACATACACCCAGCCACACACTCACCCAGCCACACATACACCCAGCCACACACTCACCCAGCCACTCACTCAGCCAGCCACCCGCCTAGCCAGCCACCCGCCTAACCAGCCACCCGCCTAGCCAGCCACCCGCCTAGCCACCCGCTCGCCTAGCCAGCCACCCGCATAGACAGCCACACACTCACCCAGCCACACACTCACCCAGCCACCAGCCTAGCCAGCCACACACCTAGCCAGCCACCCACTCACCCAGCCACTCACCCAGCCAGCCACCCACTCACCCAGCCACCCGCCTAGCCACCCACCCACCTAGCCCAGCCACCCGCCTAGCCACCCACCCGCCTAGCTAGCCACCCGCCTAGCCACCCGCCTAACCAGCCACCCGCCTAACCAGCCACCCGCCTAACCACCCCCTCGGCTAGCCAGCCAGCCACCCAGCCAGCCACTCATCCAGCCACCCACTTGCCTAGCCACACACTCACCCAGCCACCCACCCAGACAGCCACCCACCCACTCACCCACCCACTCACCCAGCCAGCCACCCACTCACCCAGCCACTCACCAACCCACCCAGCCACTCGCCATTGGTAACGGCACGTGTTTTTATTCGTGAAAAACGCAAAGTGGATAACACGTGCGTGCGTGCGTGCGTGCGCGCGCGTGTGTGTGTGTGCGTGCGTGTGTGCGTGTGTGTGCGTGTGTGTGTGTGTGCGTGTGTGCGTGTGTGCGTGCGTGCGTGTGTGTGTGCGCGCGTGTGTGCGTGTGTGTGTGTGCGTGTGTGTGTGTGCGTGTGTGTGTGCGTGCGTGTGTGTGTGCGTGTGTGTGTGCGTGCGTGTGTGCGTGCGTGTGTGTGTGCGTGTGTGTGTGCGTGTGTGTGTGCGTGTGTGTGTGTGTGCGTGTGTGTGTGCGTGCGTGTGTGTGCGTGTGTGTGCGTGTGTGTGTGTGTGCGTGCGCCAGTGGTGGGGAGCGGTTAGCGCTACGCTGCCAACCCGTCGCCCCGAGTTCGCGTCCCGCTCACTGGCCACCAACATCGGCGGCGATGATCTGAACCCGGTCGCGGGCCTCTCCTAGGTCGACTCGGCCATAAACACGAGTACCCGGTGCGGTGTGCAAACATCAGCACGGCCTGTGTGGACCACGCGGGGAATCTTTGTTGACATCGCCCACTCGGGGTAGGGGTGAGAAGCCGATTGTCGGGGATATATTTTTGTATTTTTTTATTTGCCTTCAGCCACGTCGAGAAATCGCAGCTCCGCGTCCTCTTACGCCAGGCCCTCCGCCGTGGGGCCCTCCGCCGTGGAGCCCTCCGCCGTGGGCCCCTCCGCCGTGGGGCCCTCCGCCGTGGAGCCCTCCGCCGTGGGGCCCGAGCCCCGCTTGGCGCGAGCCGCGTGGAGCCACCGGGCCGGCACGCAGCGGCACGACGCGCGGCTGAACGCCAGCGGCCGGGGGCACGAGTGGGTGCCGGTGGGGGGCACGCGGCACGGCGGGGGGGGCACGCAGCTACGGGGGGGGGGGCAGGTGAGTGGGGGGGGGGGGCGGGCAGTGACATCACCGCGACATTGCCACTGTGTGTGCATAATTTAAAAAACTCATTTCTTTAAAACTGCTTTTTGTTGTGTTTAGTTTGGGGGGTACGGGGGGGGGGGGGGGTACCTGCACGTGCGGCTGTCGAAGCACGTGGGGCAGCTGGGGGGGGGGCCCCTGGCGCAGCGGCACGACGCCCGTTGTTGCGGTGGGCGGCACGCGGCCTCGCCAGCCGCGTGGCCAGGGGGGCAGGGCCCCCCACGATCCTCGTCCTCTTCATCCCGACGACGAAGACGCCGCCGCCGCCGCCGTTGCGGCTGCCGCTGCTCCACGTTGGCCGAAGTGGCTTCTGGGGGAAATCGGGTCACCTTGAGAAGTCGGATCGTGGAGGAAGGGTGTGGGAGCGAAACGTCGGACATCGTGTCCGGACAGCACGCGGTACAGGCGGTGGCTGTGGTTGTTGTGTTATGATGGTGGTGATGATGATAAAACTACTCATGGTGATGGTGATTCTGATAATGGTGATGGGAGTGATGATCATGCTACTGATGAAGATGGTGGTGATGATGAAGCTACTGATGGTGATGATGCAGATGATGATTATGATAGTGGTAATGCTGATGCTACTGGTGATGATAGTGAATCTGATTATTGTACTGATGGTGATGCTGATAATGATGATTGTGAACATTCTGATGAAGATGGTGGTGGTGATGATGCTGATGATAATGAAACTACTCATGGTGATTCTGATGATGTTGGTAGTGATGATCATGCTACTGATGAAGATAGTGGTGATGCTGATGCTACTGGTGATGGTGATGATGAATCTGATGATGGTACTGATGGTGATGCTGATAATGATGATTATGAACATTCTGATGAAGATGGTGTTGTGATGATGATGATCGAGTGATACTGGTGGTGATGATGCTGCTGAAACAGATGATGAAACTATTCATGGTGATTCTCATAATGATGATGGTAGTGATTCTCATGCTACTGATGATTATGATCATGATTCTGATGAAGCTACTGATGCAGATGATAATGCTGGTGGTGGGGATAATGGATCTCATGATGACAGTCCTGATGGTGGTGCTGATAATGATGGTGATGCTATGATTATGAAAATTATTCTGATGATGGTGATGATTGTCATGATGCTGCTGCTGCTGGTGATGGTCATGATGCTGCTGCTGATGGTAATGATCATGATGCTGCTGCTGATGGTAATGATGCTGCTGCTGATGGTGCTGATGATGATAATGATGCAGCTGATGGTGCTGATGGTGGTGTTGATGTTGGTAATGATACTGCTGATGTTGGTGATGGTGTTGATGTTGGTAATGATACTGCTGGTGATGGTGTTGATGTTGGTGATGGTGTTTATGTTGGTAATGATGCTCATGATGGTAATGATGATGCTGCTGATGATGATGTTGAGTACCAGGATGGTGCTGCTGATGATGATGTTGAGTACCAGGATGGTGCTGATGATGATGTTGAGTACCAGGATGGTGCTGCTGATGGTGCTGCTGATGATGCTGCTGATGATGATGTTGAGTACCGGGATGGTGCTGCTGATGATGCTGCTGATGATGATGTTGAGTACCAGGATGGTGCTGCTGATGTTGTTGAGTACCAGGATGGTGCTGCTGATGATGCTACTGATGATGATGATGTTGAGTACTGGGATGGTGTTGCTGGTGATGATGTTGAGTACAAGGATGGTGTTGCTGATGATGCTGCTGATGATGTTGAGTACCGGGATGATGCTGCTGATGGTGCTGCTGATGATGTTGAGTACCAGGGTGGTGCTGCTGATGGTGCTGCTGATGGTGCTGCTGATGATGCTGCTGATGATGATGTTGAGTACCGGGATGGTGCTGCTGATGATGCTGCTGATGATGATGCTGAGTACCGGGATGGTGCTGCTGTCCCTCCCCGCGTCTCGTGGGAACGCAGCGGCAGAGTTGGGGGTCCCAGCGGGCCCCTCTCACGCACGTCACGTTGCTCCAGACACACCTGGGGTCACCGGGGTCACCGGGGTCACGAAAGAGGGGGAGTGGGTGGGTGGGGTCAGCCCCAGGTCATTGTGGAGCGGTGGTGCAGTGGTCGACGCGCCGCGCTACGACCACGTCTCGGCACTTGCCCCGACAGCCCGTGGAGGCTACACGGGGGATCTTTGTCTGTGTACAGTAGTGTATATTGAGCGGTGGTGCAGCGGTTAGCGCTGCGCTGCGCTACGAAGCCGGCGACCCGGGGTTCGATTCCCGCTCGCGGCCAACACCGGTGACGATTATCCGAACCGGTCCTGGGCCTCCCCTAGGTCGACTCAGCCTCAAATGAGTGCCTGGTGCGGCGTGCAGTAAACATCGCCACTGGGGAGACAAAGGCGGTCGGGCGTGGTGCTGGCCACCCACCCTCTCGTGTACCGTACCGGCCTTCAC